CCGCCGCCGACGCCGCGGTCACCGATCCGCGCGCCGCGACGAGACCTCACGTCGCGCGCGATCGCCCCCGGTCCCGCGCGTCGTCGACCCGTCCCGCGGCGCCGAGGGGTCGGCGTGTGGCAGCTGTGTGGGCGAACAGGGTCGCCACACACCCGGGCGTCGAGGGCGATCCACGCGCGATGGTCACCCGCCCGTCGCGTCCACGCCGACGGTGGGGGATTTTGACGAATCTCCGATTTTAGAGTCCCCAAAAGAGGTCGATTCACGACTCGTCGTGTGCGCCGTGTCAAAATCCATATACCGCGGGAGGGTCACCGACCCTCGAGTTACACTCTTCGGGTATGGTGACAATAGTTAAGGCACCGTTGGTCTAGTTGGTTATGACGCTCGCCTCACACGCGAGAGGTCTCCGGTTCGAACCCGGAATGGTGTACACTAACTTTTTTGCCGCTCCGTCGCGTCACTCCGCGTCGCGCGCGCGCCCAGGCGGCGCGGAGGGACATTATCTATCCGTTTCTCGCGAGATCCGACCGTTTAAATTTGAATTCGAGACGCGCGCGCACGAGCACGCAATACATGGGTGTTCGTGAGGAGGAAGACGCGGATGTTACCGACGCGTTTCTTAGCGATCCGGATGATACTTCTGCGCCGCGCCAGGGCCCTAGCTTGGGAGGGTGGTGGCGCGAAGTAGTCGTTCCCGGCGCCGCCGCGTTTTCAGCGCATCTTGCCGTGCGTCGTTTGGAAAAGTTGCTGCTCATCCTTCCGTTCTGCGCCGTTTGCATATGGGCTTTCGGAGTCGACTACGGGTCTTACGTCGCAGTTGCGGGTATCATTGCCTATTATTGCCGCAAGTCATATGTGAGGTACTGCGAACCGATCAGCGAGGAAAATACTTCTCCAACCACAAATGAATGAGACAAACTGGTGGGAGTCAAAATCCGTACATTCGGACACGCGGACGGACAAATCTCCGCCCCATCGCCCGTCGGGCGCGCCCCGACGACGCGCACGCGGAGTCGTGACGTCGTGAACCGACGAGAATACGCACGTCCCGGTGGGATGGAGATGTCGCGGTACTCGGTGGGATCGGCGCGCGGGGGACCCGGTGGGATGGAGATTCCGGGACGACGCGCGATCGCGGGACGGGCGGATGTGCGTTGGATGTGTTCCCGGAGCGCCTAACGGGGCGGGACGACGGGACGCCCGTGGGGGCGGGACGACGGCGACGACGGCTCGAACGCGCGCGAGAGACCGTCGTGGTCGTGGTCGTGGTCGTCGTCATCGTCGTCGTCGTCGTCGTCGTCGTCGTCTAGGAATGATCCGTCGATGGCGTCGAGGGCGCGACGTAAGTCGGCGCGCTGGGTCTCCGTGAGGGCGTCGAACTCTCGTCTGGCGGCGGCGAGCTCGCGACGGGCCTGATCGCCCGGACGGGCGATGAGCTTGCGCTCGAACGGATAGAGATCGCCCCAGTGGAGTTTGCGAGCGAATTTGTACCCGTCGCGACCGATTTCGCGACCGTGCGATTTGGCCACCGTGACGCGCTCGAGTTCGCCCGTCGGGGCGCAGAGCTCGAAGACGACGTGACCTTTGCGTCTAATGGGATGTCTTATCACTCGACCCCATCGCTGCATGGAATCACGAGCGAGCTCTCGGTGGAAAGCTTCGTCGTCATCGTCCGTCGCGGCGGACGGTTTCTTCGTTCTCTCATCGCGCGCCTCTCGAGCCGCTCGACTCGCGTCGGCGCGCGCCGACGCGCGAGAAGATTTTCTCACGACGACGTACGAAAACTTCTCATCCTGATACGTCTTCAAGCCGTGCTTCATCTCTCGCATGTACTCGCTTCGCATGGAACGCTGAGGAAAGTGACACCACGTCGAAAACCCATCCTCGCGGTTGGACTCTTTGACTGGACACGCGCCGTCGTGCTGACAAGGAGCGACGACGTACGCGTCCACGTCCTCCTCCGATGGCTCAATCCCAAGTCTTCGTGCTCTTTGCTCCATATCCCTACGCGCGACGTCTAAAATCATCGCCCGCGCTCTCCGAACGAGTAAGCTTCCCTTGGGCGTTCCTGGTTCGGCCAAGACTAAGATTCCGCCGAGGGCGACTTTGTCCCACAACTGACGAATCGTCACGTCCACCTGACGCTGCTGATTACGCGCCGTGGCTTCGTCTGGGATCTCGAGCAGGGCGTAGGACGAAACGACCACGTCGAAGCCACCGCGTCTGTTGGCGCCGCGGAGACTCGCGCTCGTGCGAACACCCTCGCTCTCGTGCCACGGGTGAGGTGTTTTCAATCTGAGCGCGCTCGCCGGGCGCGGCGCACTCAGCGCCGATTTCTCGTCGGCGTCCTCGAATTCGGTGAAGTCCAACTGATCGATACCTTCAATGTTCGTGTCTTGGCGCGGGCGTATGTCGTCTCTTTCTTGAATTATCGCCGTCATCGCCTCCGCTTCGCGCTCCGCCTCGACGTTTTTCGCGTAACCGACGACGCGACGAGCAAATCGCATCATGCCCGGATTACTATCCACGAACGCGACTTGAATCTCACCATCTCTCGGATTCGCGCTCATGGGTGTACCGACGTTGTCTCCGAACACCGCGCGGAGCGCGAAGAGCGTCGTCGGCATCGGTCCAGATCCAAAATCTAGCACAGTCTTTGGCGAGAAGCTCTCTCCGAGCCTGTCTCGCGTCTCATAGAATATCCTCTTCAGCGCCCCCATGGTCATGGGACTCCGCATCACCGCGTACACCGCGGCGTCTAATTCATCGTACTTTACCGTGACATCATTTACCTCGGCGCGCTCCTCTTGCGCGCTCACTAAACTCTGCTCCACCCGCCGCAGCTTACGCTTGCTCAATCTCACTGCCCACTCGATGTCGTCGTCCCACGTCGCCAACGCGTCGGCCGATCCCTCGACCATTCGCGTCGCGCTCGACCCAGCGCTCAGTAAACGACCGCTTCGATCATCCGCCGAGCTCTCTAGCTCCCTCGACGCGTCCCCGGCGCTTCCTCGTCGCATCGCCTCTCGCAAGCGCTCGTAACGCGCGCTCGCTCGGCGTCCCACTCGAACCCCTTTCTCCGCCCCGAACGCGTCTCTAACCGCTCTCCGGAGCGCCTCTTCCGTCGCACCGTCGTACGCGGACATCATGCCCACCCGTTGACGCGCCAACGCCGCGCACGCCCGACGCAACGCCTCGGAATCGAGCGCATCCTCCGCCGACCGCTCCAGCAGCAGACCACCCGAGCGCTCCATCTCGCGCGTCTTCTCAACCACAGACTCGCTTTGTCGACCGCTCGTCGACGCAAACGACGCGCGCGATGTTCGCAGACACCGCTCGAGCGACCGCGCGAGTCGAGACGCCATGTCAGCCGCGATTCGTCGGTCGAAGCGCGTCCCGGAGTGACGCTCTGGCGAAAAACCCCGGAAAAATTTTTCGTCCGACACTCGTCGCCGCGCCAACATCGCGATGCCGCCGAAGAAGAAGACGGAGGACGGCGCGTCCGAGGCGAGCGCCGCACGATTCGGTCGAGTGCGAAATAACCTAAAGATGGGCATCGTGGGATTGCCCAACGTCGGGAAGAGCTCGCTGTTCAACCTGTTGACCCGACAGAGCATACCGGTGGGTGTTTTAGCGTTCGATGCGGACGACGACGGACGAGGACTGACGCAGAGGCGACGCGAGCGTAGGCGGAAAACTTCCCGTTCTGTACGATCGAACCGAACGAGGCGCGATGCGCGGTGCCGGATGAACGGTACGATTATCTGTGTAACATGTGGAAGCCGCCGAGCATGTATCCGGCGTTTCTCATGGTGACGGACATCGCGGGTTTGGTTCGCGGTGCCTCGAGCGGGGCCGGTTTAGGGAACGCGTTCTTGAGTAATATCATGGCCACCGACGGGATTTTTCACGTCATTCGCGCGTTTGACGATCCCGAGGTCGTGCACGTCGACGACGAGTTGGATCCCGTGCGAGACTTGGCGACCATCACGGCGGAATTGTGCTTGAAAGATATCGAGACGGTGAAGCGCGCGGTCTCGGACGAAGAGCGCGACGTCAAGAAAAATCCGACGATGAAGCTCTCGGCCCTGTTCACTTCCACGATGGAACGCTGTCTGGAGATGTTAGAAAAGAACCTGGCGATTCGCACGGGGTCTTGGAACACACCAGAGGTTGAGATGATCAAGGAGAAGCTCCCGGCACTCTTGACCACCAAACCGATGGTGTACCTCATCAACCTTTCGAAGAAGGATTACATTCGAAAGAAGAACAAGTGGTTACCAAAGATTCACGAGTGGATCAAGGAACACGGCGGCGGTGTCATGATTCCGTGCTCAGTCGAGTACGAACAGGAGCTGTTCGACAGTTGCGGGAACGATGCGGAAAAACGTGAGGCGTTTGAAAAGGAGAACGACGGGGCCAAATCTGCCATTCCAAAGATGGTGACCCAAGGATACAAAGAGCTCAATCTCGTGTATTTCTTCACCGCCGGTGAAAAGGAGGTTCGATGCTGGACCGTGTACAACGGCGCCACCGCGCCGCAAGCCGCCGGGGTCATTCACAGCGACTTCGAGAAGACCTTCATCAAGGCTGAGGTCTGCGCCTTCGACGATTTCAAAGCCATCGCGACCAAACCCGGGATGTCCGAGGTCAAGGAGGCTGGCAAGTATCGCCAGGAGGGCAAATCATACGTCGTGCAGGACGGCGACATCGTGCACTTCATGGCCGGCGCCGCGACGAGCAAGAAGAAGTAGAAGTGTTTTTGATGATTTATGTAGACGTGAAATCGCCCCTCACCCGTCGTCACCGCTCGACGCCGACCGCGAGTGAAAACCGAGGGCGCTCGAGTGAACATGTTCGGCGCGGACTCCGACTCGGACGACGGCCCGAGCGCACTGTGCGTGAAGCGACGACGAGAATCGCGCGTGCGCCGAAATTTTGTGAATTGTTTCGAAACGCGACGCTCGAGACGCGCTGGAGCGAGCGCGCGCGCGCTCGAGCGAACGACTGATGCGATGTGATCCGCACGCAGGCCACTGCACGATTGCTGTGAGACGAACGACGCGGAGACGCTGCGCGCGCTGTTGGCGCCGCCTTCGACGGACGGAGACGCGGCGGAAGGAGACGCGGATCCGGCGGCGAACGAAGACGCGGAGGAGGAGAAGGAAGATGGTGATCGCGGTGATGACGAGGACGACGAGGACGACGAGGAAGATTTCGATCCGGAGGCTGAGGAGGAGGAGGAGGAGGAGGAGGAGGACGGCGCAGCAGCGTTCGGCGCGGCGCTCACCGCTGGTCTCGCGCGCGTCTCCATCGACGAGCGGGATCGCGAGGGGCACACCCCGCTGCACGTGGCGCTGCTGCATGGTTCAATCGATTGCGTGAACGCACTCTTGGATGCAGGGGCGAAATCGTACGTCACACTCGAGGGTTCGCCGCCGCTGCACATCGCGTGCGCAATGAGCGGATTCGAGCGACACGAGACCTTCGCATTGGAGGCTGTAAAGGCGTTGCTCCCGCACGTCGAGAATGAGTCTACTCAAGACGATTACGGACGAACCGCTCTATCCGTCGCGGCGCAACACGGTGTGTTGGCCATCGTTCAGACGCTCGTGAACGATTTCGCGCCGCCAAACGAGGAGGATACGGTTGAGGTGTACATCAACCTGAAAGACAAGACTCGTAACCGGCCGCTGCACTGGGCGTGCGCGTACGGACGCGGCGATGTCGTCGAGTTTCTGTTAAAGAGCGGCGCCGATGCTTCTCTGAGAAACGATAACAAGGACAACGCTCTGCACTGCGCCGTAAGAGGAGGCGATGCGAAGTGCGTTGAGGCGCTCTTGAAGTTGCATCCTGAGTTGGCTCAGGAGCAGAATGCGCAATCGCAAACGCCAGCGCAGATGGCCGCCGCGCGTGGAAGACCAGTGATTGCGAAGCTCTTCAAGCTAAGCGTCGATGCTGCGGCAGATGAAGATCTCAAGCGCTTCATCATAGCTCCGGATGTGTGCTTCTTGCATCACTCCTGTCCGCCGATTACTCGTCTGGAAAAGGACACACCGCCGCCCGAGAATGTCAACCGGTTGACCACACTGTTGAACCCGTCGAATGGAACGTTGCGTGGAAAGGAATTCAGCGAGCTCAACGTCGAGTACGTGTCGGAGGTCAAACCTGCTGCTTGGGTAGACATCCTGCGCTGTCATGAATACGCGTACCTCAAAAAGGTGCAGAAAATTTGTGACCAGCTGCCGGACATTCGTATGCTCCCGCGCGCGATCGGCACCATAGACGGTGATACCGCTGTATGTTCGCAATCTTTCAACGCCGCGCTCGCCGCCGCGGGCGCGACCATCGAAGCCGTGGAAAAGATCATCGCTGGCGAGACAAAGAAAGTGTTTTGCGCCGTTCGTCCTCCAGGGCATCACAGCGGTCCCCTCGGACCGGTCGGTACGCCAGGCGATCCCATCGGTACTGGTTCGCACGGATTCTGTCTCATCAACAACGTCGCCGTCGCTGCAGCGTACGCCCGATGCGTCCACCGAAACAAGATTCGACGAATTGCGCTGGTTGATTTCGACGTTCATCACGGGAACGGCACCGAGGCGTGCGTGCAAAACACAGCTCCGAGCGCGCCGCAGTTCAAGTACCAACTCCCCATCGGTGGTGGTACCTTTTCAATGCACATGTATCGCCCTTGGCTAGATGAAACCGATCCGGAAGAGATCATGTTTGCCTCGGTGCACGGATACGGGCGACGAGAGCTCCAGCATCACTTCTATCCAGGCACTGGTCCGACGAAGAGCACGAAAGGTGAGTACGACTTAGATACCGAAGAGATCCCGGCTTGGGATGAAGACGGCGTAGTCGAAGATCCGATGCACGTCGAGGCCGAGGTGCGTGTGAGCACAGCCAAGGGCGAGCAACCGTGGGTATTGGACGTTGGAATGGAGGGCGCGGGCAAGCGATCTGAGCGCGGGCACGCGTGGCGTCGAGTGTGGAAGGGAAAGATTTTGCCCGCCATCAACGCCTTTGAGCCCGAACTCATCATCATCTCCGCCGGTTTCGACGCACATGCGAAGGATGACATTCAAGGTCCAGTGAACCTGGGTGTGAAGGAACAAGACTATGAGTGGCTCACCACGGAGTTGGTGAAGATTGCCAACGCGCACTCCGACGGTCGCGTGATCTCTGTCCTCGAGGGTGGCTATCGAATTCAGGGAGGTCCGATCTCCGCGTTCGGCCGCTCCGTTGCCACGCACGTTCGAACGCTGTTCCAACCGAATGCCGAAAAATACGACGCCGCCAGGGCGAAGACGGAGTTCAACGCAGAGCTTCGAGTCCGCCGCGAGATTCGCGAGAAGCGAGAAGCTGAGGAAGAAGCCGAGCGTCAGGCCTACTTGGAGCGCATCGCTGAAGAAGAGCGCGCGATGATGGAAAGCAACGATGCTATGGACGCCGACGACGCGAACGGCGAGAAGCGCGAGGCCGAGACAGATCCCGAACAAACGCCGTCCAAGCGCTCGCGCCGAGGCGTTCCCGTCGATTACGCCGCGTTGAACGCCAAGATCGAAGCCGAGGCCGCGGCAAAGAAAGCCGCGAACACCGAGTCCTAGGAATGATCATCCGCGCCATCGACGCGTAGTCAATAAAACAGTCGCTTTAAGCTCGAACGCCGCGTCTCGCCCATCGTCTTTGCTCGACGTCCGCGCTCGCCGTCCCGAGCGCCCTTCGACAGGACCGACCGCTCATTCCTCACTTCACCGCGCGTCATGTCCCTCGCGCGCGTCAACGCTCGACGCGTCGTCAACGCATCCGTCGTCTCACCGCGCGCGCGTCGTTCAACGGCGTCTCGCGCCTCGATCGCGACCGTCCGAGCTTTGAACACGGTCGATGGGTGCGCGTTATCCACGCCGCGACGTGCTCGCCGCGCCGCGTCGCTCGCACCGCGCGCGTCCTCGGTGAGCGAGCTCGCGCTCGCGATCGACACCTCCGGGTTCGACCAGATGTTCATCAACGGCCTGAAGATCGGATTACCGCTCTACGGCGCGGTCGTCGGGGCGATCTTCATCTTTGGGACGATCGCAAAGGTTGCGTTTCCGGAAAAGTACGACGCGGCCATGTACGGCAAAGTGGCTAGGGAGGACGTGGAGAAGGGGAAGATCGATCTGGATAACTTGAGCGAGGAAGACGCGAGGGCGGTGGCGGAGTTGGAGGCGGAGATGCGGGCGCGTGGTGAGCTTTGATTTGAGCGTATTCGTTCATGTAAAGATATGTGATTACGATATTCTCGCAAACGACAGACAAATGAACGTTACGATCGTCGATTCGCCCGTCTACTAGTTACCCGGGACGAGTGAACACGTGGATTCGACCCATGATTTATACTCAGCGTTATCGGCGTACTTTTCCGCCTGCTTCTTATCCCCGCGCTTCGCCGCGCTCGTCATGAGCTTGACGATGAAGAGCAAGCCGAGCGACGACGGGACAAAGGTGATCGGTCTCGTTAACATCGCCGGGACGCCGGCGACGTAGAGTCCGACCCAAAAGAGAATCTCGCCGAGATAATTCGGGTGTCGACACACCTTGTACAGGCCTTCGTCGCACCATCGCGTCTTCCCTCGTTCTGTCGCCTTGAAGTTGAATTTCTGTTGATCCGCGATAGCTTCCAGGACGACGCCGATCCACTCCATCGCCAAACCGAGCGAGATGACCGCACCGTACTTCGCCACGTTCACCACATTCACGTTCTGCGCGTGCCACAACATCGGCGAGCTCATCATCGCGTACAACGCCGAGCACAAAGCGATGACCGCGGTGAGCTTCGCGAACCCTTTCGCCCCGGCTTCGGGCGCGTTTTTCGCCCGCTCCTTCCACTCGTCCCACGTCACGCTTCGGTAATACAAGAAACCAGCCAGTCGCGCGCCGTACACGAATCCACCCGCGATGTGCCACGCCAACGCCGTGCTCATCACCGCCCCGCTCGCCAACATCGCGTGGTACGTGAATGCCGCCGCGAACGCCACGCTGAGCCCGTAGCCCACCGAGAAGGAATAGATTGGATTCACGTACGCCAACGCCACCGCCGGGAAGCACGCGCACCAGAGCGCGGGCAACGCAGCGTGTGATGACAAAACGGCCGCCATCTCCGGCAGCGCCCTCGCGGTCGACGCGCGCGAACCGCGAGGAGACGCGCGCGAGTGAGACGATCGATGAGAATTCGCGCCACCAACCTCGAGCGAACGCGCGACGACGACCGACGCGCGCGACGACCGAGCGACGCGCGCGCGAGGGAGAACGACGCGCGCGCGCGCGTTGGAGGCGATGATCGATGCGCGCGCGGACATGGACGCGCGTCGAACGATGACGACGGAATCGGGTACGACGCGAGAACGACGCGAGAGTTCGACGCGCGCGCGCGCACGCGTCGACGCGAGAGTTCGCGCGACAGCGAGGTATCGCGCGAGAGTCGAGCGCGCGCGCGAGGCGTCGAGCGCGCGCGCGCGCGTCGAGAGGCGTGTTTGAGAGAAAAAGTTCGTTGGAGAATCAAAAATGGCGTCCTCAACGACGACGACGCGCTCGACGTCCTTCGTGGGAAGTCGTCGCGGGAAGAGGGAAAGTGCGACGGCGCGAGGGATGCGCGGGCGCGCGCGGGCGTCGCGCGGCGACGAGAGCGAACGCGTGCCCGATGGTACAGCGTCCGCGGCGACGGATGCGGACAGACGTCTCTTCGCGGGGCTGGCGAGTCGCCGACGCGCGATCGGACATATTAAGCGGCAGCGAAGTCGCGTGTCGGTGGGTGATTACGTATCGGACGAGTGCACGGTGCTGCGCGGCGAGCGATTCGCGGTGGAGCGCAAGCTACACGACGTGAAGCGGGACCTGAGCGCGCGGCTGGCGCTGGAGCGCTACGACGAGGCAAAGGAGATTCAAGCGCTCGTGATCGAGCTCGAGAGTGAGCGCGATCGAATAACGCGCGAGATTGAACGCGAGCAAACGACTTTACTTCGTCACCTCGACGAGCTTTACTGACTCGATCCGCGCTCGAGACTCTCGACGTCGTGCGTCGCCTCGACGAGCTTCGCGACTCTTAATGTTGTACGATACGCGACGTCTCGGCGTCGTTCGTGTACCACCTGTATGTATGTATCATCCGCTCGATTTAAAATAGCGCGTTGCATCGCTCTGTTGTAATCACAAATCACAAAGTCGCGGTCGCCGCACGCCGCTTCATACGCCGCCGCGAGTCATGACTTCGTCGTCCGCGCGAGGCGCGCTCCCGCACGAGCTCGAAGACCTGCGCGCGTTCACACTCGATCGAGTGATCAACGACGGTCGAGACGCCCACGGAAGAGTCGTCGCCCTCGGCACGTTCGTGGGCGAACAAGCGCAGAGTTTGGTAAAGCTCAACAGAGCACCTCTTCCGAGCTCAACAGACGCCGTTCGAGCGCTGTTACGAGAGGTCACGTCGATGCGAACTCGAATGCCGTACTCCGGGGGTGAGTACGGGTACTACGTTTCGCGAGACGTCGAGATAGAGGTCATCGCTCCGAGCGCGCTGACGGAGGCGACGGAGGCGGCGCGGGACAAGTTGTTGAAGAAACACATCGCCAGGAGCTCGACCCAGCGATTGGTGTGCGCGAGGGAGACGCCGGATATGTATACAACGAAGCACGAGGCGCAGTACATCGCGGCGATCCCGAGGGAGGCGACGAATTGGGTGCGAGAGATTTTATCGTTCAGGGCGGAGAAGGAGCGTCTGTTACACGCGGACGAACACTTCGTGATGAATACCGACCCGAAGTGGACAACGCATCCAGACTGCGAGACGACTGACAGAAAGAGCTGGCGCGATCACCCGAGCGTCGTGGATCTATACTGCCTCGGGATTTACGCAAAGGACGATTTACGTTCGTTGCGAGACGTCAGAGCGGAACATCTCCCGGCGCTTCGAGCGTTGCTTCACCGAGGGCGAGAGGTCATTGAGCGCGTCTACGGCGTCAAGGCTGAAGAAATTCGCGTGTACGTGCACTACCCACCGCAGTTTTATCACTTTCACGTGCACTACCAGGCGTTATCGGCCAAGGAGACCACTGGTTCTTCGTGCGAGCGAGCGATTCTATTGGAGGACATCATCGACAACGTCGAGCGCGACGGCGATCACTACGCCAACGCGAACCTGTCCCTGAAGATGGGCGAGCGCGACAATTTATATCGTTTATTCTTCGGTGACGACGCGAATTCGTAGACCGCGGCCATTAAATATTGACCGTCGAGCCGACCGCTCCGCCACGCGCGCCCTCCGCCCGCCTCACACCGCGGCATCCACCGCTCCCGCGTCGTCACCGATGTCCCTCGCGCACGGTTTCCGCGTCGCCGTGAGTGACAGATCGTCGCTCATCGCGTCCGCCGCGACCGATCGCGCGCGCGCGTCGACGCGCCGTGGGAGAGAATTCCTCCCCACCGCTTCGAAGAGTGCGCTTCCTTCGTCGACCGTCTCGTCGTTCGACGCGCGTCGAGGCCCCGCGCGCGCTCGGAGAGCGATCGTGACTCGCGCTGAGCGTGAGACCCGATTGGTGTCGGTGCTCACGTCTCTGCCGAGACGATTGGAGCTGTACTTTGCTCGGAGGTCGTATCGGGTGACGCTCTGGCGAGCGATCAGCGTCTTCTTCGGGTTCTACTTGGCGAACGTGATGACTCTGAGCTTTGGGGCTTTAGGGATCAACGACGTCGTCGCGGGGGCGCTGAGCGTTGCATTTTACGAGATCGTGACGAGGATTTATTACTCGACGCTGCAGCAGAATAAGTGGTTGGAGTTCGTGAACTGGTTCAAGGTTGGGTACTGTTACTCCCTGATCGCGGATGCGTTCAAGCTCGGATCGTGAGGAGAACGCGGTCGTTCGTCATCGCGTCATCGCGACTAGTTTGTTATTAGAGCACGAAAAAATAGTCGTCAAACCGGCGGACCGTCGAGCTGTCGAAGCGCCTCGTAAATGCCTATACCCGCGGAGACGCTCAGGTTCAAGCTTCTCACGTGCGTCTCGTCGATCGGAATTCGACGAATCCCGCCGCTCTGTCGACACGCTTCCATGGCATCCTCTCTCAACCCTTTATCCTCCGATCCGAATAACAACCAGTCCCCCCGTCGGTACGCGCCCGTCTCCGCGTGCGGTCGCGCGCCGAGTTTCGAAAACCCAACCAAACGCTTCTCCGTCGTCTCCACCCCCCTCCAGTACGCATAAAACGCTTCCCACGACGGATGCACCCTGACGCACACCGATTTCCAGTAATCCAACCCCGCGCGCTTCAACCGCGCGTCGTCCAGCTCGAACAACGGGTCCACCAGGTGCAGCGGCACCCGCGCCGCCGCGCACGACCGCGCCACGCACCCGGTGTTCCCAGGAATTCGCGGCTCCACGAGGACGACCGCGAGATCATCCCTCTGCGTCGTCGTCGCCGTCTCCATCGCGCGCACGCGCGTCGCCATCGCCATCGCCGCGGCCTCGCGCCCCGCGCCGGCGGCGCGAATCGTCGGACGCTCGAGCTCTCTCTCGCGCGCGCTCGGCGCGCGCGCGCGCGCGCTCGAGCTCGCGGTGAACACCCGCGCGCGCATCCACCGCGCGCGAGGTCGCGCGCGAGACGACGGCGGCGCGTCGACGGTCGATCGCGATCGCGCGTCGGTCGATCGCGCGTCGACCGACGCCCGTGAAAGGTGGAACGCAATCGAAAGGCGCCTTTCACCTTTCGAGTGGAAAAATCCAAAGGCGCGGCGGCGCGCGGCGACGGATGCGATGGGAATTCGACGACGCGCGCGGACGATGAGCGATCGCGCGCGCGCGCTGGCGTGGACGCTCGTCGCGATCGTCCTCGTCACGATGGCGCACGCGTGGAAGACGTCGGCGCGGGCGAGGCGGACGAACGCGAGACGGATCATCGAACGGGTGTGGAATCGTCGGAAAATGCTCGACGACGCGCGAGGGACGACCGCGGGACGCGCGCGGGGGGCGGATCGCGTGGGACGGTTGCGAGTGATTGGATTTTACCACCCGGCGCACGCGGACGGTGGGGGCGGGGAGCGCGTGCTGTTCGCCGCGATCGCGAGCGCGCAGCGGGACGCGAAGCGGCGAAGCGCGGAGGCGGAGGCGTCGGGGAGGTCGAGCGAGAGCGCGCGCGTGGCGTTCGTGGTGTACGCGAGCGCGCCGGATATGGGGGCGAGGGGTGATCGCGTGGTCGACGGTGCGGACGTCGTTCGACGGGCGAAGGAGCGGTTCGGCGTGGAGCTCGACGACGACGTGGTGGTGGTGCGGTTGAGAAACGAGAGATACTCTCGAGCGGAGAACTATCGATGGTGCACGATCGCGAGGCAGTTCTTGGGAAGCGCATTCCTGGGGTGGGAGGCTCTGTGGGCGTTCACCCCGGATGTGTTCGTGGATACGGTTGGGCACGCGGCGACGTATCCGCTGGCGCGATACGTCTTTGGATGCGAGACGGCGGCGTACGTGCACTATCCCACGGTGTCGACGGACATGATCGACCGCGTCGCGGCGGGAAGAGTGATGTACAACAACAGTGGACGATTCGCGGCGTCTAAGTTTCTTACTGGTCTCAAGCTCGTGTACTACCGTCTGTTTGCGGTTGCGTACCGGTGGTGCGGACGGGCGTGCGCGTGCGTCATGGTGAACTCGTCCTGGACGAAAGCGCACATCGACACGCTCTGGGGTGTGGACGCCAAGATTGTCTACCCACCGTGTAACGTCGAAGACTTGTCAACAATTCCGCTCACGAGACCGCTGTTAGACGCCAATGGGGCGGCTGTGAAGAAGGACAAGGCTTCGATTCGAGTCGTGAGCGTGGGACAGTTTCGACCGGAAAAGGCGCACTTGGTACAAATCGCGGCGTGGAAGGCGCTGAAGAAGATGAAAAACCGATCAACGAACATCGAGAATGCGATCTTGGTCTTCGTCGGAGGATGCCGTGACAAAGCCGATCGCGAGCGCTTGGCTGACTTGAAACAAAGCGTGAAGGATTTGGAGCTCGAGGACAGCGTGCAGTTTCATGTCGACGCGCCTTACGATGTCGTGAGGCGGGAACTCTCTCGTGCATCCATCGGACTACATGCGATGTTAGACGAGCATTTCGGTATTTGCGTCGTGGAGTACATGGCTGCCGGCGCAATACCGGTGGCGCACGCGTCCGGTGGACCTCTGCTGGACATCATCCGAGACGTACCCAAAGGCGTCACGGGATTTACGGCGGACACTCCTCAGGCTTTTGCGGAAATTCTCGAACACGTGATCATGATGCGCCGAGCTGAGCGCGAAGAGATCGCCGGACGAGCGCGAGAGCGTAGTAAACTTTTCACCGAGGCAAACTTCCGCGAGAGTTTCATAAACGCGTTGGTAAATGCAGGAATCTGGATGTAATTGTGACTACAACATTCGCGCACGCAACGATGAATTATTCCTCTTCGGATTCGTCGTCTTCAGAGTCGCCCTCGTCCCCGTCAGAGTCCTCGTCTTCGGAATCGACCTCTTCGTCTTCAGAGTCCTCTTCAGAATCCTCTTCAGAGTCCTCTTCAGAGTCCTCTTCGTCCGACTCCTCCTGTCGCTTTCGACGTTTCGTGGGCGCAGGCTTGGCGTCCTCGTCGTCCTCGTCCTCGTCCTCGTCGTCCTCGTCGTCCGACTCTTCTTCGTCGTCCATCTCTGCGTCCAACTCTTCGTCTTCCGAGTCGTCCTCCGAGTCATCCTCCGAGTCGTCCTCCGCGTCCTCCGCGTCCTCCGCATCTTCGCCGCCCTCGATCAGACGCTTCAAATTAACCATCTCCGCCTCCAAATATTCCTTCCGTCGCACCTTTTTCGTCTGCTGCGCGTCCAACTTTTCCCCCGAAGCCTCGACGCTCCGCTCCAACGCGTCGATTTGTCGCAACTTTTTCGCCAGCGCCCTGTACCGAATCTCCAACGGTCCGTACGTCCGCCCGCGCATCTCCCCACCGTTCACCACCCGCTCGCTCTCGCCGCGCATCTTCCCCTTCTCCTTGCGCGCCCGCTCCTCTCGCGCGCGCTGCGCGTAGCTCTTCCCCGGCGCGCGCGCATCGCGCGCCTTCTCCAACGCGCGAATCCGCGCGCGGGACGCCGGTCCCCCGGGCGTGCGCCGTCCCATCCCGTTCGCGCGCGCGTCGGGTGACGAATGAAATCACCCCCGACCCTCGCGCGCGCGCGCGTCCCGTCTCGCGTCGCGTCGACGCCGACGTCGCGACGTTCGCGTCGCCGGCGGCGCGTCACCGTCGCGACGGGTCCACGCGGCGACGCGTCGCAGTGTGGGTCTCTTATAACCCATCACGCGCGCGTCCACGCCGCGCCCGGTGGACGGCACGCGCGACGCCCGATGGCGATGGCGCGCGTGGAGTACGCGCGCGGCGGTTTTTTTATTTTTTATGTCATGGCGGTTTTATGTCGCGTCGATGCGATCGCCCATCGCGCGCGCGACGACGCGCAGACGCGCGCGCGCGAGGCGCAGACGCGCGCGCGATGGGGACGCGGACGATGATGCCGTCGACGACGCCGCGGGCGCGATCGGGGGGGCGCGCGCGCGATCAGGGACGGATGCGGGAGACGATTGTGCGCGCGAGTGAGAATCCGCTCGAACGCTTCTTCCCGCCGCATCGACAGCGCTCGGGGGCGAAGGATGGCGCCTCGGGCGGAAGGGAGTCCGCGGTGGTGCGAGAGAGTGATGATGGCGCGGTGGAGGCGCGCGGGCGGGCGAACGAGTCGACGGGAACGGTGGGATCGGGGGGGCGGAGCGCGGGGCGGACGCCGACGCTCGCCGACGCGGATCCGGGGGTGCGACGCACCAGGGCCGCGCTCGACGGCGCGCGACCGGGCGATTTGTTAATGGTGGAGACGCGGTTCGCCGATGGGAGCGACGTGCTGGCGAGTGGGAGAGATCAGATGACCACGAGGTGGTTCGTCGTTCGTCGGATCGGTACGTCGGCGGGCGGGCGGAAAATGTTGGAGGGTGAGTTGGAGGGCAAGCTGGCGCAAATCGTCGATCAAGGCGGGACGCAAGAGGCGAGAATAGGGATTCAAGGCGCTCTGTTCGATGAGCGAGGGGGGCTGGCGAGCGCGAAGGGGGTGAGAGACGCGAAGGCGATGAAACGCGTCGCAAAGGCGCACGCGAAACGGGTGAACGACGAGATGGATAAGGCGACGCTCGTGTCGCAAGCCGCGAGCGCGTTGACGCTTGAAATGTTGGAGAGCGCGGTGCGTGCGTCTCCGGACTTTTGGACGCGCGGTAACGGCGCGCACTCGAGACGCGTGATCACCGACGCCACCGAGAACGCGACGAAGATGGCGGGCGAGCTCTTGGCGCTGAAACACGGACATCGAGACGTGGTTTTGACGCAGATCACGAGCGACTGGGAGTGCGGGACGGAGGACAGCATACGCGCTCCGTTCGCGGCGTCCGTGCTCGAGGACATCCTCGCCACGCAACGCGACGTCGCGGTGGAGATATCGGAGGCTCGGTACGAGACGGAAAACATGACCGACGGTGAGCCGCAGTACGAGAGTGGGGTCACCTTTGTGGTGTATCGAACGGTCGCCGAGCACAGGGCGAAGCTCTTGGCGTCCATGGGTGTGCAGGCGACGCGAAACGTCGCGAGAGCGTTCGAGCAAGCTCTCGTCGGCGTCGCCCTCGGGTACGACGACGCGAACGTCGAGTACCACGTGCGTCACATGAACGAAGAGAATGAGATATCGATGGAAGAGATCCGGACGCTGATTGAGAACGCCAGGCAAGAAATCGACTCACTTTTGACGACCAAGGCGTGATTCGCCGACGACTGTCATATGTTGTAACAATAACAATAATAACACGCGAGCACTCATCTCGCCATTCTTGAGCGACGCTTTCGGGTGGAAAAGCAATCTACACTACATCACAATCTCTAAAAATGCGCACTTCTCGCACCTCGCGACGCACGCGTCGAGGCCGTACTCGTCTCGCACGTCGAAACGGAGTTCGCCCGCACGTCCGCACCCGCGCTCGGCGTGCGACTCGAACGTCCTCGCGAGTCGGCTTTTGAGATACCTCAACCCCACTTTCTCGTCCAACCTGGCCAATCTAAACTTCCCGCACGTGCAAAACAGCACGTGCCTGTTCTGTAGCACTCTTTGCGAACCGCACACCGGACACAACACGTCCTCGTCGTCCTCCGCGTCGCGCTTCACGCCATCCTCCACGGGAAACTTCCACCGTTCGAACGCCTCGATCGCTCGCGCCAATCGTTCAGTCTCTTCCGCCTCCTCACTCGTCTCCCCACTCAGCGCGCGCTCTCGTCGAAGCGCCACCTCGCGCTCCTCGCGCTCGAGCTCTGCGTCCCGCGCCTCCGCCATCGCCGTCAACACCCGCTCGATCTCCGCTTCCGTCATCGAACCGAATCCATCATCCTCTGCATCCTCTTCGCCGTTCGTTTCTTCTCTCCGTCGTCGCTTCGCCTCTCTCCGAACGATCTCTCGACACGTCGACGCAAAGTCTGCGTCGTCTTTTGAATCATCATCATCCTCTCGCGACCGTCGTCCTCGCCCGCGCGTGTGTTCGATCACGCGCTCGACGCACGCGCGCTCGAACGCACAGAGGGACGCATCGGCATCCATCACCCCCTCCCGAGCGCCCCTCGTCGCCGTCGTCGCGCGCGAACGACGTCCCCGAGGACGACGACGCGGACGCCGCGCGCGCGTTCAAAAAAACACACGACGGCCAAAGCGCCACAGAACCGTGTGACGGTTCATATCCACGTCCACACGCCGACGCCCGCGCGCTTGTCCCGGTCCGCATGCCGGCGCGGCGCGATGCGCGCGCCGTCGCGACGATCGCGGTCGTCGTCTTCGTCGTCGTCTGCGTCGGCCGTGGCGGCGGCGCGACGGCGCTGACGCTGACGAGCGACGGGAGAACGTGTAAATTTCCGCTCGAGGTCGGCGGGGCGACGTCGACGACGTGCGTACCGTTCGGATCGAACGACGTCCTGTGGTGCGTCGCGGAGGAAGATGGACGATGGGGGACGTGCGCGGAGGCGTACGACGCGAGTGAACGCGGTCGGGTGACGAGGGAGATGACGTTGCGCGCGGCGCGGACGCTGGGCGATTCGTCCGCGAGCGCGGACGAAAAGCGTGCGGCGAACGAGATTTTGGAGAACGCGAGTGCGTTGATGCTTCGCGCGCTCGCGGATGAGAACATCGAGATTGATGGCACGGTGATCGATAATCCCATCGCGGCGTATCTGGAGAAACGGGACGACGGCGTGGCGAGCGGGTCGCCCCCGCCGATCAAACGGCTTCGTCCACCACCGCCGACGGCATCATCGCCACCGCCATCGCCACCGCCGTCATCGCCACCGCCGTCATCACCACCGCCATCACCGCCGCCCGTCGAGACACTACCGCGTTGCAGGGCTAGAGTGGACATTCGTTGGGAGAGTCCACAAGCCGATGGTTCGTCGGAATTCGGCATGGACGTGTACGTCCTTCTATCGTCTGGCGACAGCATTTCGGACGGCTGGAGAGTGATTTTTAAGTTCATGAGCGATCAGGTGGCGCTGTACTCAAACTCGGCGTACGGTGCGGATGCGCGGACGCTATACTCTCCTGATTATGGTCGAGTGTATGAGCTCGCCGATCGAGGCTGGGATGCGTTCATCGCACTATACTCGACGAAACGCATCGGATTCAACGTACGTACGAGAGCGGACTCGCGCGCTTTAAAGTTAAAACTTCTCATTCTCAATGGCGCGCGGTGCGAGGTCGTTGAAGAGTCATCGCAACGGTACTGACGATAAAATTCGCCGCGTGCGGAGCGTACAATTACAAATCCTTCCTTTTAAATCTGATGCACCGCCTTGACTTCGTTCAGAATCTTTCGCACTTTCTCTTCGGGTTCGTCGCGCAATCCTGGAATGTCGCCGAAATCCGTCGAGTCGTCGCCAACGAGCGCTCTGAACGAATCCGCTACGCCTTCGGACAACCCAATCAAATCGTACCCACCCTCCAACAAAAATACTATCCTACCTTCGCACAGCTCGTTCGCCAACTCCTTGAGCTTAGTACACAGTCGATGGTACGTACCTGAGCGGAAGGTCAGCCCCGCGAGCGGATCACGCCAATGCGCGTCGTATCCCGCGCTCACAATAATGAAATCCGGCTTGAAGCGTGCCGCCCCCGGCATGACCACCTCTTCAAACGCGGTCAAAACCGCTTTATCACCGCTTCCAGGAGGAAGAGGGATATTAATGGTCGCGCCTATCCCCTCGTCCGAACCCACGTCCGTGAACTTCCCGGTTCCAGGATAACTTCCGTCCTCGTGCGTGGAAACGAAGAGCACACTCAGGTCCGAGTGAAATATGTCATTCGTCCCGTTCCCGTGATGCACGTCGTAATCAAATATCATCACTCTTTCATGTCCGCGCTTCTGCGCGTGTCTCGCCGCAACCGCAGCGTTTCCAACTAAGCAGAATCCCATCGCGCCTCGCGGAGTCGCGTGATGTCCCGGTGGACGCACCAACCCGAAACCCGACGGCGTCAACCCCTTCTTCGATCGATCGCACACCTCGTCCACGAGCGCGATCGCCGCTCCCGCTCCTCGCATAGCGTCTGCGTACGTCGAGGTCGTGCAATACGTCGGCGCGGTGTCCAAATTAACCGGCGCACGCGTTCCGCACAACAACTCGAGCCCGGTGGCGTAATTCTTTGTGTGTACCCCCTCCAGCGCCGACTTGGGCGCTAACTCCACGCCCGTGAGCTCCATCACGTCCTGAGGACGATGTGTTCCGAGCAGTTGACCCTTTTCGAGCTCTTTTAAGATGGCCGGAACGCGTGCGGCGCACTCGGGGTGACCCTCAAGGTCATGTCCGCTCGCGACGCTGGAGACAAAGATAAGCTTTGGCGCATCGTTTGAGCTAGCGCTCGGGACCGTGGTCGACCGCACGTGCGAAATATGTTTCCTCACGACGCACACCGATGCGATCGGTGACGGACGGACGAGCGCAGACATGACGCGTTGCAGAGTGAAGACACTGCGCGGAGACGAGCGGCTGATTCTCCCTCCGGTACTCCACAAGGATTCAGGTTCTCAAAATTTCATGGCTACATATTATGTACGTGCTACTCATCTCAGCGCGCCCGCTGTTCACTGTTCTTCGAACAAGGAAGGTTTGATGGACATGAGTCTTTCGCCCGCAAATGCTTCCGGGACGCGCCAGTCGCCCGACGCGCAGGGGAGTGGACAGTAACGTGCCTCGCGCGTGGCGTCGTCAACGATCCAAACTGCGAGTTTGCCCACCCCGATGGAATACCCCGTGGCGTTCGGAACGAGCGTCCACACGTTCTGCGGGGGATTGTCCCACGTATAATTTGCTCCCGTGACTTCGTCCCAGGCATTCACGATTACTTGCGTTCGGTACACTTTCTTCGTCGTAGGGCCGAGACAAAAGATCCACTCATTATTCGCGTGACACTCGGGTGTGCCGCGCTCCCCCTCCACGAACGGAATTTTGGGGATCCCCTGAGAATTTTCATCGCACGGCAACTTGCACGCCCAGTGACGATCGCCAAGCGAACTCCAAAACCAGTCTCCTGCCTCGAAGTACTCACGACCCCAGACGGCAATTTTACTCTTTATATCTCGCCACGCACCGTGGCCATCTAACATGCCCTCGACGCGCTTGAATCCGGCCCCCTCCTTGTAGTACACGCTATTCCTTCCTACGGCGACGTCGTCCTTACGTTCACGCAAATTCCACGCGTCGTGCCACGGGGAGTTTGTCTCATTCATATCGTGGACGTTGAGAATCTGCTGCACATCATTACCGTCCTCTCGCGCCCAAATATCTTCGTAGCCGGCGCTGATCCTGCGCAAATTTTTACTTCCCACCGCGTGCAGTCGTCCCCTATCACCGACGGCTAAATCCGGGTGTATGGCGTATCGCTCGCGCTGTCGCAGCAAATTGCCTGTGGGAGAGCGCAAGTCATCTTTCAGCGCGTACACATCACACCTCTTCCTGCACTCCTGACGGCACGTCCCCCATACCCACTTGACGCTATTGTTTTGCGGCGAGTCCCACATTCCTCGGTTGTGGTAGACGTTAGAACCTCCTCGAGTTCGTGACGAACAGTCCCCCGGTGCCGTCTCTAGCGGCGCGTCCATGTTCGTACCACCGATCTCCCAAAGACGTTTTCCCGCAGCATTATGCAGCACGACCCCGTACTCGCACGTGTTGTCCACGTACGCGCGCGTCTCCCAGTGTCCCGGAGGGCCTAACTTCTTCCCCATCTCGTACGAGGTGTGTGGATTTCTCAGGTTGAACTCCCAGAACCAGCCCGCGTGTCCATTGTTGCACTTCGTCACCAGCGTCGCCCCCGTGATCTCGTGCTGAAAGAACTCGGCGTGTCGCTCGACGTGCTCGTCCGGTATGCAGCGCGTGACGTACTCGAATCCCACAAACCGCGGATGCCTCTCCTTGGGTTTCAGCATCGGTACAGCGCCGTCACCGAGCGATGCGAACGCGTCCGTGAGCCCTCCCACGCGCGTCTCGCCCCGTCGCGACGCGTGATGCGCCCCGACGACCGCGACGAGCGCCAAAACGCCCGCGCTCGCGAGCGCTCGACCGGACACCAGCCATCGTCCGTCATCCGCGCGCGTCGCCGCACCGCTCGACGTCGTCTCCGCGAACGACGACGCGCGCGTGCACACCAAGGTGTCGCGTTCGTCCGATCGAGCGACGTCGACGATCACGGCGTCCGCCGCCATGGCGCGCGCGGCGACGTGTGCGGCGTCAACACCATTTCCACGGGGCGTCGCGTCCCATTGGTTCGCAACACGGCTTTATGTATGCTTCCACTACGTACCGTGTGTCCGGTTTTCGACGCACCCGGTCGGCGTGGCGACGGTCTCGCCATCGCGCGACGCACTCGTCGCCTCGTCGCGCCCGATCGATCGACGCCCGCGATGGGGGCGTGTCTGAGCATGTGTGAATCCACCCCGGACGTGCCGGCGAACATCATCGCCGATCCCGAGGTACGGCTGGCGCGCGCGCGCGTGCTCGAATCGACGAATTGACGTTCGCGCGCTCGGGGGGTGTTGGGACGACGTTCGGTCGACAGCGCGTTGAGCGATCTCGGAGAGACGGAGGCGGTGACGTCGCGTACTGACGGTGCGCATCCATCACCACCCGCAGGGTCCGAGTAAGTTCGTCGTCAAGTCATGCTCGATGTTCAACAAGGATTACGAAGTGTATCGCGACGCGGTGGACGTGAACAACCGCTGGCTGTTCGTGAACCGAAGCGGAAAGGGAATGTTCGATCCCACCGGATACATCGACCTCGAGAACTACGTGCGAATCAACCCGGAGGATAAGAAGAAGGGCCAGGTGCTCTGGAAGGCTAAGTATAACGAGCGACCGAGTTTTCAGATGGGCATGTCGCTCGATGCCGATTCGGAGGACGACGGCGACTCAAATGGCATGGTCCAGGCTTTGACCGGAATGTTCGCGAACATGATGAACCAGGGTGACGAACGATTCTACTCAATGAAGTGGAGAACTTTCTCCGAGGCCAAGATCAGGTCGGTGAAGACTCCGGGACAAGAGTACAGCGTGAAAATCAAAGCCAAGGGCTACTGCACGAGAAAAGTTAACATAGTGTACACGCGCGATGAAAACGGCCTCAAACGCAACGTCGTTGTTAAAGATAACGAATACGTGACGAAGATCTCGTACAAGATTAAGCAAGCCGATGGCACGACGATCGAACGCTTCGACATGTACCCGGGCGACGGCGGTTACTTCAGCGGCCCCGAAATGGTCTGGGAGTGCGGCGCCTTCACCGCCAAGCTCAAGGGGGGTTTCTTCTCCAACAACCCGCACGAGATCGAGACGAAGCCCGGTATCGACCCCGGTTTCGCCCTCATCTTCGCCCACATCTGCGTCACCGAGTTCGCCCCGGATGAGATCAAGAAGGACCTCAAGCCGCAGTGGAACCTGTGCCCGGGATACGTCAACCCGTATTAACGACGGCGACGGCGACCGCGCCGATTCCAACGCACGTCCCGACGAAGAACTCGACCGAAATATTATGAACACTTTATCAACACCTTATCAACACGTAATATTTATAATACATCCAATAAGTCCACCACCTCCACAGGCCGAGGGACCGACGCCGCTGATGCAGGCGACCCGCGAAGATACCAGAGATATACGTATGCTTACACTACGCGCGCGACGCACTCGTCGCCTCGTCGCGCCCGATCGATCGACGCCCGCGATGGGGGCGTGTCTGAGCATGTGTGAATCCACCCCGGACGTGCCGGCGAACATCATCGCCGATCCCGAGGTACGGCTGGCGCGCGTGCTCGAATCGACGAATTGACGTTCGCGCGCTCGGGGGGTGTTGGGACGACGTTCGGTCGACAGCGCGTTGAGCGATCTCGGAGAGACGGAGGCGGTGACGTCGCGTACTGACGGTGCGCATCCATCACCACCCGCAGGGTCCGAGTAAGTTCGTCGTCAAGTCATGCTCGATGTTCAACAAGGATTACGAGGTGTATCGCGACGCGGTGGACGTGAACAACCGCTGGCTGTTCATGAACCGAAGCGGAAAGGGAATGTTCGATCCCACCGGATACATCGACCTCGAGAACTACGTGCGAATCAACCCGGAGGATAAGAAGAAGGGCCAGGTGCTCTGGAAGGCTAAGTATAACGAGCGACCGAGTTTTCAGATGGGCATGTCGCTCGGTGCCGATTCGGAGGACGACGGCGACTCAAACGGCATGGTCCAGTCTTTGACCGGAATGTTCTCGCGGATGGCGAACACGGGTAACGATAGATTCTACTCAATGAAGTGGAGAACTTTCTCCGAGGCCAAGATCAGGTCGGTGAAGACTCCGGGACAAGAGTACAGCGTGAAAATCAAAGCCAAGGGCTACTGCACGAGAACAGTCAACATTACATACGAGCGCGATGAAAACGGCCACCGACATCGCAGGGTGTCCGTTCAAGATCACAAATACGTGACGAAGATCTCGTACAAGATCAAGCAAGCCGATGGCACGACGATCGAACGCTTCGACATGTACCCGGGCGACGGCGGTTACTTCAGCGGCCCCGAAATGGTCTGGGAGTGCGGCGCCTTCACCGCCAAGCTCAAGGGGGGTTTCTTCTCCAACTACCCGCACGAGATCGAGACGAAGCCCGGTATCGACCCCGGTTTCGCCCTCATCTTCGCCCACATCTGCGTCACCGAGTTCGCCCCGGATGAGATCAAGAAGGACCTCAAGCCGCAGTGGAACCTGTGCCCGGGATACGTCAACCCGTATTAAACGGCGGCGACGTCGGACGCGGCGAACGCGCATTCCAACAAAGGCCTCGTCCGAGGTACGATGTAATCATATTTATCACAGTAGATCCGCTCAACGACGCAACCGGCGAGGTCTCTCAACAACCAATCGACATACATACCCCCTCTCTGGAGTCATGAATCACCAAACCGGTCACGCAATTCGACGTCGTCCGAACGCGCCTTCCGATCGCTCGACCGCGCGCGTGCGCACACGTCACCGCGCGCGAAGTCGTCATGGTGGCGGTCGGTGACGCGTTCCCCGACGTCGTCGCCCAATCCCACGAGCCCACGTGGCCGACGCCCGTGAAGATGCGCGCGCGCTTGGCTGGCAAGCGAACGATCGTCGTCGGTCTTCCCGGCGCGTTCACGCCCACGTGATCGACGTGTCAGGTCCCGGGATACCTCGCGGGACAGGACGCGTTGAAAAACGCGAAGATTGATGAGGTTTTGGTCTACTGCGTGAACGACGCCGCGGTGATGGGGGCCTGGGCGATCGATCAAAAGATTGCGGGATCGAACATCGCCTTCGTCGCCGACCCGAACTCGGTGATGACCAAGGCGTTGGACATGGAGCTCACGCACCCGGGACCGTGCGCCAAGCTCGGACCGAAGCGATGCAAGCGATTCGCGATGTTCGTCGAGGATGGCGTGATCAAGGTGATCAACGTGAGCGAAGGGCCGGACGATCCCGCCGGGGACGAAAGGCCCGAGTCCTCGTGCATTGATAACATGCTCAAGGATATCGCCGCCTTGTAAGCGGCGAGGGTTCGAGCTCCGATCGTAACCTTTACATTTTCGTTTTACATTTTCTTTTCGATCCAGAGCGAGAGCGACGGGTGGGTGAGGGGATCTAGGACGACGCGCTCGCGAACCGTGACGCGAACCAGCGAAAGAGCCGAATGCACGGTTGGCTGGTTCGTCGATGAAGCGAACGCGACGTCCGACTCGCGATTCCCCAACGCCTGGAAGAGTGACAATGACGCGAGTCGTTGCGCTTGAAATAAACCATTAAAACATAATGAATACAACAACGCGTCTACTAATCGCTGCGCTCCTTCTTGACGCTGACGACGGTCGGCTTCTCCTCAATCTCCTCCTTCGCGCCGCCGTGTCGTCGTTGCCACGAACAGAACGCCGCGAGATTGCAATCTTTTGGTTTGCGGTTGATGTCACCTCGCGCGAAAATCTCGAAAGAATCGATGCCAAACTCGCCAATTCCGTAAATTTTCTTTTCTGGTTCGAGACCAACCTCGAACGCCCCGGTGTTCGTGAGAATCGCCGTACTGACCTCGACGATGGTTCTATGTCGCCCCGGAAAGAGACCGAGTCGTTTGATGACCTCGAAGACTTCCTCTGCGTCGGCATGCAGCGCCGCCGTTGGCGTTGGAAACTTTTCAAAGAAATTTGATATCACCTCGTGTTTCAACGGCCCACTCGCAACTCGACTCATCAGAGCGCACGCGATGAGAAGCATCCAAGCGTCGTGCGCGTAATACTCCTGCAATAGCTGTAATTCACTCGGCGGCGGCGGTTTCCCAAGCCTAGATTTGACCCAGGTCTCCCAGTCGTCCACGTGCGATGGAACGTCCTCTCCCCAACGTCGAACCGCATCCGCGCGCCATGCGCTCTCATTCGTCTTCCCACTCGCCGCTCGAGTCTCCAACAAACGCTCTCGCGCCCCGGCCAACCACTCTCGAGACGCCGCGAACGCGTCCGTCTCCTCGTCTTCGTCCCGAGCCAACTTTGGCTGTCGCCTCGAGTTCTCTCCAGGCTCGTCACCATCGTCCATGGCGTCGATCGCGGAGCCATCGTGCTCGGGCTTGATCCCGACCACTCGAGACGATCGCCTCGTGGGTTCTTGAAGCGTCTTGCGCTTCCGAGAGTTCGCGTTCGATCGACGATTGTTTGCGTCACCAAACATGTCTTTTGAGATTTGTAACACGCCGAGCCGCTTCATGTACGCACGGTTACGCTCGACGTGAGCCAAACGTTGGAGCTCGTACTCACTCAGAGCCGGGGGAGCGTTCTCGTCGCGAGTCATGACTTGAAACGCGCGAGGAATTGCGGACGCGCGTTAGCTCGCAAACGAGGTGTAGGTAGATTTCGCAAACTCAATTAAATGAAACCTACTGGTTTCTTGCTGCTATTACGTGTTGGATTGCTCTTTGAGCTTTTTAATCGCCTCGGCGATGTTCAATCCGCCGAGCGCCGCGGTCAAGGTTTGCGCGGCTAATGCGGCAGCGTCAACATCCTTGGGCGACAGGTATGGCGGCGGCTCCTCCTTGCCGGCGATGGTGACGCTGGTGAACATCTCGCCCTCGCCCAGGCCCAGGCGATCGTACACCTGTTGAAGATCTTCCACGGTCATCGCGTCGTACATTAGCGGCAAGTCCGCGATGCACTGGATCTTCTTCTTCGGCGCCAGGTCCGGGGTGTTTGTGCACTGCATGAGATCAGCCCAGTAGTTGTTCGTTTTGAGGTCCATCTCGTGTCGACTCAACAAGGTCAAGCGCGCGCGATCGACCTCGCGCTGGCTCACGCGCTGCGTCTTGAATCCTCGCATCACACGGACGCCGGCCTGAAGCGCGTCATCGATCTTTTCCGGCGTTGACGTCACCAACAACCTGTACGTCGTAGCGTCGTTATTCTGCAAGCCGAACGACATCGTAAAGTTGCAGTCATACGTCAGACCCAACGCGTCTCTAACCGTGGTGAACAGCCTACCACCCACAACTTCAGCGAGCATCATGCCCGCGCAATAAGTCGCCAGCGGATTGGCTCGTCGCACGGATTGACGCGCGAATGGGTTGCCCTTCGCCGCGGCAACCTCGTTCACCGGATCCTTCAAAGCGGCAATCTGTTCAGGCGTGTACGACTCCACGTTGATAAAGCTAGGGATTTCGTTGAACAACTTCGTCATCGGTTCCCACATGGACGGTCCCGGACCGGCAGCAACGGCGCATGCGCGCTCATCGCTGTCTCTCAACCAAAGTCGCTGCGCGCGGATGGGATCATCCGCCGGCACATCCTTCAACTTCAGCGGGGCCACGAGCGACGGTGGCGACGGTTTCGTCTTGATTGAACCCATGAAAGCGAGAACCAGATCGTCTACTTCTTCCGGAATGATGTCTCCGACGATGTTGAGCTCCAACGCCCCGCTGGCAAACTGCTTCTCGATAATCTCTCGCACTCCATCGAGCGTCAGCGCCGCGAGCGCCTCCTTGTTCGGATCCATGATGCGTCGATCATTGTAAATCACCGCGTTGATGGTTTCGTGAGTCAGGAGTTCAATGTTCTTGTTCGTATTGATTTGGAACATGCGATAAATGTCCTTGACTCGCTCGAGCGCTTGCTCGTCCCAGTTTGGCTTGGTGAGAGTGAGATGGATTATCTCGAGAATAGTCCTCAAGCCACCATCCGTTGCAAACGCAGAGTCCATGAACAGATATTCGACCTCGGGCTCGACGTCGTACACTAGCAAATGTTGCATGGTCAACAATTCAATTTGTTTGCGGCTCCAACTTCCGACGTCTCCGGCTTCTTGAACCGTTCGAAGACCAACCGCCGAGGCACCGATGCCGCCGGGACCTATTTCTGGGCTCTCCAACGATCGGCCCCCAGGGACGACGAGACGAAGGAACGCACTTCCGGGCTCGGCATCGAGAACCTTGTAGTTCACTCTGATCCCATTACTCAACGTGCGTTGGTACACTCCCGTTGGCTCGTGATAGGTTGCCTCGACAAACTCTGGCGACATATTGGCGAAGAGCGTGTCAACCTCTTCATCGGAGACCAACACTTCCGGGACGTAAATGTCCTCGGGCTCCGTGATCTCGCCGTAGTCAGCGGCGAGAACTTGTTCGATGCGCTCGGGAGTAATATCGAAGGGCACGGTCTCGCCCTTGGCGTCGGTCATCGTGGCCGGGACGCATGCGACGATGGCCGTGCACATGCCGCTGTTCTTCGAGCGGTTGTGTGCCTTGCCGTATTCGCCGATGAAGCCCAAAAGCTCATCGCACATACCGTTACACGCATCGAGGGTGAGTAAATCTGCCATGTCCACCATGGCTTCGTGTCCGGCGACTTGGTCCATGACGACATGGCCGCACGCGTCCTGCTCCATGATGAAGTCGAGGTTTTCCAGGCTCGGCACGCTCCCGGCTTGCTGCGCGAGCTGTTCTGAATCACGAAGCATGGCAGCCTTGAAACGGTCGAGCTCACTCGGAGTCAAACCGAACTTTTGCAAACGCCGAGCCTCCTCCACGGCGACTTGCAGGGCGAACTCGTACTCGCGAGGTTCGCATGTCACGGTGACCGTGCTGACGCAGCACCCCTCGCGCGCAGAGTCAGAGTGGTCCAGTTCGACGCGCTTGTAATCCGCATTTGTCTCCGCATAACGCGCTTGAATGCGGCTTTGTAACACCAACAACACGATGCGCTGAAGGATCGTCCTGTACAAATCTCCCATGCGCTTAAGCGGCTTGATTTCCAACTTTGAGAAAATGTTAAAGCTCGCGTTGGACAAGTGCTCGTGTTGAAACATCGAAACCTTGCCCTCATCCGCGACGAACGGCATGAAAGGATCTTCCAAGGCTTTTGCCTTGGCTTCTTCGTTCATTCGCTTGATCTCTTCGAGCTCGTAAGAGGGCGCACCGTAAGCGTGCTTCACGGGCGGCCGAACGCGATGACGCTCCAGGGGAGAGCCAACTTCCTCCGCTCCCTCGGCCGGGGCGGCTTCCCCAAACGCGGTGGCGATCATCTCCTCCACCTCATCCACAGTAGCATCGAAGTCACCCACGACGTAAAGCGTCGCGTTGGCCGGAAAGTACCACCGTGCGTGGAAATCTTTCACCGCTTGCGCGGGCCACGCTTCGACCTGATCGAGCTTACCGATGGGGAACCGCGTCCCGAGAAGATTATCCCAGTGCAAATGCTCGAGAAGCTGACAGTCCACGCGATACTCGATCGTATTCATCATTTGCGCCTCCGCGAGCACCGCCTTCTTCTCCTTGGCCACGCGCGTTTCCAATAACTGTGGCGTGAACGCGACGTCATTCAGAATATCCAAGACGTTTGGAGGCATGTAGTGCCCATCCTTGTTCGTCGTCGGCGCGTGGATGTGGAACACGGTGTGGTGGAAATCAGTGTACGCGTTACCTCTCGTCCCGCTTCCCAGCCACTGATCGCGCTTACGCGAACCCAGAAACGTGACATGCTCCACGAGGTGCGCCAAGCCTTGCTCGTCCTCGCGCTCATCCACCGCCCCCACGTGCATCTCCAGGTGCGCCTCAAATCGTCCCTCCGGCACCTTGTTGGGTAAAATCACGTACTTCAACCCATTCTCCAACGTCCCCCGTCGGATCTCCTCGTGCGACGGGAGCGGTCGATCGAGCAAAGCGATCGCCTCGCTCGGATCCACCTCGGTCGCCAGCGCCTCCAACGCGCGGTCCCACCGCCCCGCCTGCGTCTCGACGTACGCCCCTCGCTCCCCCCCGTTCGCCGCCGACGCCGCGACGCATCGTCCTCGCACCGATCCCACCCCTCGTCGACGCGTCTCCACCGATCGCGCGCCCGTCGTCGTCCGCGTCCGCGTCCTCGTCGCGCGACGCCCACCCCTCCCGTCGCCCGCGCGATTCCACCCCTCGCGTCGCCCGTTCGATGGCGTCCAAGGCCGTCGCTCCCGAACGCCCACGGTGGACGCGATAGCATTCGCCATCGCGCGCGCGTTCGTCTCCCGTCGCCGTCGCCCCGGTCGACGTTCGCGAGGCGTCGATCGTCGCCGCGACGTCGGCGCGTCCGTGGACGATGGTCCGCGTCACACGCGTTGGAGTCTCACGTCGCGCGCCGTCACGAGTCACGACCCACGAGTCACGACTCGTCGTCGAGCGCGCGCGCGATCGCCCCCCGCGGTTCGAACGCCCGCGGGGTGGGGCGGGATCGAGGTGGGCGTCGTCGTGCCCGTCGCGCGTCGTCCGCGCGCGCGCGCTCGACGTCGCGCGACGCGCGGGACGATCGCGCCCGTCGCCGTGGACGCGCGCGTGGGCGTCGGGGCGCGACCGCGGGCGACGGCGCGCGCGCGCATTCACCCGCGCGTGGGCGTCGGGCGCGGTGCGGGGCGACGCGGACGGACGACGGCGCGGACGGGCGTCGAGCGCGGTGACGGGCGAGCGATGGGCGATGCGGGTTTAGCGGGGGCGTATGAGGTTGGCGCCGCGACGCTGCATGAATATTTGCGCGCGCGCGCGGCGGACGCGGTGGAGGCGTCGACGAGCGCGCGCGAGGCGGAGGATTGCGAGAACGAAGCGGCGATCGTTCGGGCGCTCGCGCGGACGTGCGCGAAGATTGGGCGGTTCGTGCGACGCGCTGGATTGACGGACGTGAAGGCGTACGTGGAGGGGAAGAATGGGGCGGTGAACGTGCACGGAGAGGAACAGGCGGCGCTGGACGACGCGGCGCACGAGATGTGCGTCGAGGCGCTGCGCGAAGAGGGGTCGTCGGCTTGGATCGCGAGCGAAGAGAGCGAGGACGTGGTCGCCGCGAATCCGAGAGGACGCATCGCGGTTGTTTTCGATCCCTTGGACGGGAGCTCCAACATCGAGTGCGGCGTCGGCGTGGGGACGATTTTTGGTCTCGTCGGCGTCGATGAAAACTCCGCGGCTGCATCCGTGTACGCGCGTCCGGGAAACGACATGCGCAGCGTTGGATACGTCATGTACGGCGCGTCGACGATTCTCGTGTTGAGTTTCATGTCCACCGGCGCGGTGTGCGCGTTCACCTACGACGAGAGTCTCGACGCCTTTGTGCTCACAAAGGCAAACATTCGCATCCCGACTTCGGGCAACGTGTACAGCGTGAACCAGGCGAATTATCGAAAATGGGACGACGTTATGCGAGCATACATCGATGAGTGCTCGAAGGAGAAGAAGTCGCTTCGATACATTGGTTCCATGGTCGCCGACGTCCACAGAACACTGCTGTACGGGGGGACGTTTCACTATCCCGCGGACGCGTCCAACCCAAACGGCAAGCTTCGAGCGGTGTACGAATGCTTCCCCATGTCGGCCATCATCGAGCGCGCTGGGGGCTTGGCGATTTCTGCCGCCGATACGCGCGTGCTGGATTTCGTTCCGACGTCGGCGCACGAGAGAATGCCCATTCACGTCGGTAGTCCCGCGGACATCGAGCGCTTGTCGCAAATGTATCGCGAGTCGCCTGGCGGCGCCGCCGCGGTACGGAGCACGTTTTCTCCACTTTAATACGTTCGCGAATCTAATACACGCGGACAAGGTGCACGAAGTATGCATACATCCTGATTGTAATCACAAAGACCCTACGAATCGGGCGGTCGTTTCATCATCGGATCGTCGCACCTACTCCGCCTTGCCGTTGGCTTCGGGCTTCTTCTTGTCGCCACCCTTACCCGCCAAGTTCAAGGCTTTTTCGATCGCTTCGGGACCGTGCTTCTTCACGAGCTCCTGAACCCGGGCGAATTGCGGGCCGAGTTCCTGTTGGATGGCCGCGAAGTCACCCTTCTTCAAGTTCTCGGTGTGTTTATCGATGGATGGAGACAGCTGGTGGAAGACGGGCTGAATGCCCTTTTTGTAGACGGTGATGGCGCCCTTGAACCTCGGGTTGACCATCCACGCGCAGAACAAAATCTTGAGCATGCGGTACGCCGGGATCCTGTGCGAGCGAAACGCGTCGTCAGTCTCTCTTCGTGCGTTCGAGGGGTTCCGTGCGTTCGTCGCGCCGCGCGTTTGAAACCGTCGAGGACGAGTAGAATTCTCCATCATCTTCCCCTCGCGCGCGTTCGTTCGCCGCGTTCCCCCCTCGCGCGCGCGCGAACGCGTGTGCAACGTAATACGAACACGTACCAGGAGACCAAGCCGATGGATTCACCGATCACGAGCGAGAACGCGACGATGAAGTAGGTCAACCACAACGTCACATCTTCCGGTCCAATCACCTTGCGATCGAGGAGTTTGAGCGCACTGTACGTCGGGTAGAGGTAACCGACGCCAAAACCGGCGCACTTCAAGGTAAATGTGATCATCTCGCGTGCGCGCGCGTGGTTTGACGCGCTTCAGAGGCGCAAAGTGCGAACGATCTTTCGATCCAGGGGAACAAGTCGGGCGAAAGGATGTTCGGAGCCAGAGTTGGCGCGAAAGCAATCGTGGGGGTCGTTCGAGGGTCGTGACTGGTGAAAGTGGCGAGGGAGAGAGCTCCCGCCCTCGCTCGCGCTCGCTCGCGCGTGAAGACGAATAACAATCGTAATACATCCCGCTCCTCGCGCGCGTCACGCCTTGTTGTACTTGTTCACCATCCAGTCCTGGAGGACGTCCAGGTCGGAGAGTCGCTCCACCTTGACGCCGCGCGTCTTCCAGTACTGCGTCATGCGTCGCACCTGCATCAAATCCCCCGTCGCTGCGATCGTCTTCGCTCGGGAAAACCAAATCTTATCCAAAGATTCCTGAATGATCGCCTTATCGCCCCCGTCCACCGCGCGCTTGAGGAATCTGAGCTCCTTCAGCTTGTTAATCGCGCTCACGTCGTATCCTCTCGACTCGAGCTCGCGCGTGAGCCGCTCCACCTCTCTCGCGCCGTCGTAGAACACCCATCCGACGTACACCGCCGCGGCGACGGCAACGAACGGTCCGTACGTCGAATCCGGCGCCGCCGCGAGCTCGTGCACGACGTCCATCGTCGCTCGCGGACGCACGATGCGTGCACCCACCCGACCCATCCACCGGTCGCTCGGGCGCGCGCGCGCGGACCGACCGCGCGCGGTCGCGCGTCGACCCACCGTCGTCGTCGTCGCCGTCGTCGTCGTCGTCGTCGTCGTCGTCGCGGATGACATCATCGCCGTCGTCGTCGTCGTCGTCTCCCGCGATCGAGGTGGACGCGATCGCGCGCGCGCGCGCTGCGGGGACGGTTTTTTTGACGACGTCATCCCACCGCGCACGTGTTCGACGCGAGCGACGGCGCGCGCGATGACGGCGACGATGGAGATCGCGCTCAGCGACGCCGCGACCGAACCCTCGGTTCGAGTCGACGGGCTGACGTACGCGTACCCGGGACACGAGGCGGTCGTGCGCGCGTGGACGCTCGCGCTGCCGCCGGGGTCGAGATGCTTGCTCAGCGGTGCGAATGGGGCTGGTAAAACGACGGCGCTGCAGGTATTGGCTGGGAAAACCATGGTGAGCGAAGACGCGGTGCGGGTGCTGGGACGACCGCCGTTTCACGACATCGCGCTCACGTGCGACGGCGAACTGAGCTATCTCGGGGCGCAGTGGCGAAGGAACATTGGAAGCGCCGGAGCCGACGTGCCGCTGAGCGGAGACATCTCGGCGCGAGCGATGATCGAGGGCGTCACTGGGGTCGATCCAGAGCGAAGAGAACGATTGGTCAAGCTTTTGGACGTTGATTTAGATTGGTCCATGAAGGCGCTGAGTGATGGACAGCGACGACGGGTGCAAATCTGCATGGGACTCCTCAAGCCGTACAAGGTGCTCCTGTGCGATGAGATCACGGTCGATTTGGACATTTTGGGCCGACTGGACCTGCTCAAATTCTTCAAGGAGGAATGCGAGCAGCGTGGGGCGACTATCGTGTACGCGACGCATATCTTTGACGGCATGGCGGATTGGATGACGCACCTCGCGTTCACGTCCAACGGCGAGCTCAAGTACGGAGGCGCTAAGGAAGATATTCCAGAGATTCAAGGAACGAAACACTTATTGTCGACGATCGAGAAGTGGTTACGCATCGATCGCGACGAGCGACGCGTGCGCGAGGCCGAGCGCGCGGCGAATCCTCCGCCAAAGGTGGACGCGGCGAGCCACTTCCAGACGCGCCACATGGCGTACTATAGATGAAATTAGTGACACATCGACCAGATCCCATTCTTTCCGTGTAGTGCGAGTTGTCTGTTTTTAAATTTGTTTCACATGTCCTTAGATGCGATTACATGCGAAATCTTCGGACAAATATGATAGCTATCGATGGTGTATACCTGTGGGCTGCTTGTGCGGCGAGTCAACTCGTGAGGGAATCGCTCGTTCGCTCTCGGAGAGAAACGAGCGAAGAAATCAGTGAGATATCGGCGGCGATGTCTCTCACTTGGAGTTCTTCGCGCTGTTGCAAATCGTGACGAATGCGTCGCCGATGAGCGAAGCGCCACCGACGAGGAATCCGTCGATGTCCTCCTTCGTCGCCAACTCGTCGCAGTTCGACGCGTTCACGCTACCTCCGTATTGAATACGAATCTTAGACGCGACTTCCGGGGAGATATTGGACGCGCACCACTTACGAATGCCCGCATGTACGTCTTGCGCCTGATCTGGCGTCGCTACCTTGCCCGTACCGATGGCCCAGACGGGCTCGTACGCGATGACGACGTTGTCCCAGTCCGCCGCAGTGATGACGTCGTTCACAGCCTTGAGCTGCGCGTAGCACACGTCCATGGTCTTCCCGGACTCCCGCTGATCCAACGTTTCACCAATGCATAGAGCAACCTTCAAACCCTTGCTCAGGGCGTACTTAACCTTCTCGCCGACAAACTCACTCGTTTCGCCGCACAACGCGCGACGTTCGCTGTGCCCCAAAATCACCCAAGGGATGTTGGCGTCGACGAGCATTTCGGCGCTCACCTCTCCAGTAAACGCACCACCCTCGGAAACCCAGCAATTCTGCGCGGCGATGGCGTACTTCTCACTGTTGAGTTCCGCCTGCACGCGCGGAATGAACACGAACGGCGGCGCGACGTAGACGTCGACATCCGCGTCAATTTTTCCCGCGTTGAGCGCCTTGACGAGGTCCTTGACCGAGGCCGCGGTGCCGTTACACTTCCAGTTCCCACCGACGATGAACTTACCCGTCCCAGCGTTCACTGCGACGCATCGTCGTCGCACCGCCGGCGCCTGCGTCGATGTAAACGTTCTCGTCAGTCTCTCCTTCGCGCGCGTTATCCAAACCACCCAGAGCGCCCGATCGGGCGAGGGGTCCAAACTCTCGCCCCCATCCCGACCTCGATCGCGCTCGATCGCGCGCCGTCAACGCCGTGGACGACGCGATCGATCGCGCGCGCGCGTTCGCGTCCACCGCGCGTCGCATCCCTCTCCCGCGTCGTCGTCGTCGTCGTCCTCGTCGGCGCCGTCTCGCCCGCTCGACCCATCGGTCGAGGTCACCATCCGTCGTCTCGTCGTCGCCGTTTTTCGCACCTGCGCGCTCGATCGCCCCTCGCGCCTCGACACCGTCGTTCGTGCGACGCTCGCGCGCACCGCGGCGCACCGCGCGACGCCCATGGTCCCTCCGCGCACTGCGGATTCAGTCGTCGCCATCGCTCTCGCCGTCCCGCGCGCGACGCCCGGGCGAGGGGTCATCCGGGGTTCGAATCGGACACCCAACACATCACCTAAACCCTTCCCCTCGCGACGTCGATCGATGCGCGAGTGTTCGCCGTATTTCGTCACGTCTCGAGGGAAGAAAAATCTCGAGCATTCCAGCGATGCGCCGAACCAAGATCGAACGGGCGCCGAACGACGAGTGATCGGGTCCGGTCTCGGGGGCGCCGTGGCGAGGTGAAAATACGTACGATGCGTGCTCGAGAGGGAATTGGATGCGCGCGACGTGGATAAAAAATCTAGGGTTGTGGACACCATGACGTCACCCGCGTCGACCGCGCCGCGCGACCGCACTGCGACGATCGTCGACGATGTTGTCCGCGAGTTTGTCCAAGAGCGCGTTCACGCCCAGGGCGTCGGCGCTCCAGAAGAGGTGCGCGAGACGAGCGACGCGGCGTCGCGCGGGTCCAGGACGCGCGCGCGATCGGGCGAACGAACGAGCCTCGAGTTCTCGAACGCGATGGTTCTTCCGTCGTCGATCGATGACGTCTCGAACGACGCCGGGACGGGACGAAGAGGTCGACGCGGACGCGCGGCGAACGATATGCTGACCGTGGCTCTTTTCTCACACGCAGCGTTAAGGGGAAGAACTTCTCCCGATCCGCCGTCCGCGTGGTGAGTCCGTTGAAACGCGCGAACGGCGACGAGTGGCTGAGAGCCGCCGCGAGGACGTCTCTCGCGATATCTACACTCGAGACCGCGGACGATGCGCGGTTCATGAGGCGCAAAAGACTGACGTCGTATCGCTCGGCTTTTCTCATCGTCGTAGGAAGCGCGCAAGCCGCTCGTGGGCTACCCGGCGCCGGAGTTTAGCGCCGAGGCGGTGTTCGATCAAGAGTTCCAAGACATCAAGCTCTCGGATTACCGCGGCAAGTACGTCGTGCTCTTCTTCTACCCGCTCGATTTTACCTTTGTGTGCCCGACGGAAATCACCGCCTTCTCCGATCGCTACGAAGAGTTCGCGAAGCTCAACACCGAAGTCCTCGGCGTGAGCGTTGACTCCAAGTTCTCTCACTTGGCGTGGTTGCAAACCGACCGCAACGACGGCGGCCTCGGCGACTTGGCCTACCCGCTCGTCAGTGACCTCAAGCGCGAAATCTGCGAATCGTACGATGTGTTGTACGAAGACGGCACCGCGCTCCGTGGGTTGTACATCATCGATCGTGAGGGCGTCATCCAGCACTACACATGCAACAACGCTCCGTTCGGCCGCAACGTCGACGAGTGCCTGCGCGTGCTTCAAGCGATCCAATACGTTCAAAACAACCCAGACGAGGTGTGCCCGGCGGGCTGGACCCCGGGTGCGGCGACGATGAAGCCGGATCCGAAGGGCTCGAAGGAATACTTCAAGGCGATCTAAGCGCTACTATTCTTTTTGCGACAAGAGTCGAGGGCGACTACGGCGCACTACTAAGCAAACGCGTATTTCAATATACACGCCAAGACGATTGAACAACGATTGAACACGCACGCGCGGTCTCTCCTTCTCATCGCGTCGTTTTCGCGCGCTTCGCACACGCCTCCACTCGCGCACGAAAGTCATCTACCATCAAGCGCAATCCCTCGTCCAGCGTGACCTTGGGTTCCCAGCGCAACTTTTCTCGCGCGACGGAAATATCGGGCTTCCTTCGACTGGGATCATCAGCGGTGTTTTCGCAGTACTCGATCTCTGCCGCGGGATTCACGATCTCGCGTACCTTTTCTGCCAGCTCGTTCATGGTGAACTCGCCGGGATTCCCCAAGTTGACGGGTCCGATGAAGCCGTCTTCGTTGTCCATGAGCGCGATGAGTCCGGCGACCAGATCAGAGACGTACTGAAACGAGCGCGTCTGCGAACCGTCGCCGTAGACGGTGAGCTTATCTCCTCGGAGCGCCTGAGCGACGAAATTCGACACCACGCGCCCGTCGTCCATGGCCATTCGCGGTCCGTACGTGTTGAAAATTCGCGCCACGCGAATGTCCAAGCCGTGTTCGCGATGATAGTCAAACGCGAGTGTCTCGGCACATCGCTTTCCCTCGTCATAACACGCGCGCTCACCGATCGGATTAACGTTTCCCCAGTACGATTCCTTTTGCGGGTGCTCGAGTGGGTCGCCGTACACCTCTGACGTCGACGTCAGTAGGAATTTCGCCTTGCACCTGCGACGAGCGGGAAAGGAGGAGAAGTGTTCAGTAAAATGTCGCGTTTTCGCAAGCTTCGCAACGTAACGATTATGTCCTAGAAAAACATAATTGACTTGCGTACCTCTTGGCCAGTCCCAACGCATTGAGGGTTCCGATCACGTTCGTCTTGATCGTTTTCACTGGGTTGAACTTGTAGTGAATCGGCGACGCCGGGCACGCGAGGTGATAGACCTCATCCACCTCGACAAGAAACGGCTGCACGACGTCGTGTCGAATGATTTCGAATCTCCCACTTCTCACCAGTCCGTCGTTCTGTGACAAGTGCTCGAGATTCCGGTGCGCACCCGTGAAAAAGTTGTCCATCACCATGACGTGGTCTCCTCGAGCGATGAGGGCGTCGACGAGGTGCGAGCCGACGAACCCGGCACCGCCGGTGACGAGAATACGACGGGGTTCACCAGCGCGCGGGCGAGCCTTGGCGACCGTCATCGACGTCGGCGCTGACGACGAGTGCTTGTTCGTCATCGTTGTCGAAGAATTGTGCGTCCTCGGGTGCGAAAACAGTTGGCGTGCGCGACTGAGAAAATACACCCGTAATGTTTTCGAGACCAATTCTGGAGAATTCGTCGGTCGCCTTTCGGTGTCAACGCGTATATTGGTCCTAAAAGCCTGATGAAGCGCTTCAAAGGCCGTAAAATGCCAGATCTAGTAGTATAGTGGTTAGTACTCCACGTTGTGGACATGAGAACGACTCACGTCGTTCGTACAGGCTGAACACTCGCAGAGCCGTGGCATCCCCGGCTCGAATCCGGGCTAGATCACTCTTTTGGACGACGAGACTACCTTATTCGATTCCATCTTCTACTCTTTTTACTTCGTTCCTATTCCTATCTCGACGCGCTAATATCCTGAGAGCTCACATTCTCTGGGTTCGCACCCGTCGCTTTCATGTACTCGTACATGTCCTGGTCGCTCGCGCCGCTCACGCCCGAGGGATTCCTCGGTCCCGTGCACATCTCCCACAACTCTCCGACGTCAAGAACGGTGACCCACCGTTTGGGATACGTCGGAAACGACGTGTCGGTGTCCGCGCTCCCCGTCCTCTTTACTCCCACTCGCCCGTTTCGCGTGAGCGTCGCGTAACCGAACACGACGCGAGTCAACCAACGCTTCTTCGCCGGTACTTTCGACGATGGATCATCGTCAGAGCTGCGGCGTTGATCCGAACGAACCGAAGCGTCGGTCGATTGCCGCGCGCTCGACGTCGTTCCGTCGTCCTGACGCTCCGTCGACGTGTGTCGCCACTGTTCCGGAAGCGGCGCTCCCACGCGCACCTCCACTCGCACTCGGTCGCCCACGAGCACGCCTCTTCGCTCCAGTTCCTCCGCCATTCGTCGTTTCTTCTCTTCCGGTGACTCCACTTCGCTCTGCGCGGTGACGCCGGAGCCGTACGCGTCCTCCATCCCCATCATCGCCTCGTGTCGCGACCGCTCATCGTCGCTCGCGAACGCTCGACGCCACGCCCCGAGCGCGCTCGACGCGGCGACCGAGGTCGACGTCGACGCCGTCTCTCGCACCCGCGTCACCGCGCGCCGCATCGCCCGCGCGAACGACGGCGTCGACGCGTGCGGGCGCACCACGCGCGCGCGACGGTGCACCCGCGCGCGTCGCCTCGCCACTCCCCGGCGCTCGACCTCGCGCGACCCGATGGCCAAGGGCACGCGACGACGCGCGCGACTTCGAGCGCTCAGGGCGTCGAGCTCGGGCGCGGACGTGGCGATGCCCACGGCGGGGGCGCCGAGCGAGGGCGTCGGCGAGGGCGTCGCGGCGGCGACGTGGACGACCTCGACGTCGACGCCTGGGACGGGGGACGCGGTGACGACGACGGCGATGACGACGGAGACGCGGACGAAGACGCCGAACGTGCGACGAGCGATAGCGAAGAGGAAGAAGCTGGCGCGCACCAAGGCGCTCGCGCACGCGGAGCGCTCGGCGACGAGCGTCGATAGGAAGAAGATGCGCAAAGGGATGCGCCACGCCGCGAAAGATTTGTACTGATAGCGTTCGATTCAATGGACGATGTTCAACCGTGTAATGTAACTCGCCGCGTTCCGTGGATCCACGACGGCGACGCGGATCGCCGTCGACGCGTCCGCGTCCGCGCGTCCTAGGTCTCAGCGAACCGCGCGCGGCGCGCGCCGCATAACACAACGCGCGATGTCCGCCGCGGCGTGCGTCGGTCGTAAGTCCGCGGTCGAGGATGAAGACGCGAGTGAGCTCAGGCTCGGCGCTGATTTCGACGACGCCAACTGCTTGTCGCTGAGCGAGGTGAAGATCGTCCTGGAATCCAAGCTCGGGGATGACGCCGAGCAAGCTGAGGAAACGTCGACGACGCGCACGAGAGTGTTCGAGAAGACGCTCGCATACGCGCAGAGGTTCAGCGGGAACACGAGCGGGACCGCGGCGGCGGCGATCCGCGAGCTCCACGCCAACCTAGGATTACACGACTTTGAGGGGGCCGCGATCTCGAACCTACGCCCGCAGGACTGGGACGAGGCGAAGACGCTCGTGCCGAGTCTCGAGAGCGACGATCGAGGACTCACGGAGGAGATGATTCAACAAATGTTAGATGAGATGTCGAACGTGCGGAAATTCGAGTGAGCGAGCGTAGGGGGACGGCGTCGGATGTGTAAAATCAAGCTTAGACAAATTACAACGATTCGTCGCAGTTCACGCGATTGCGGCGCTTCATACCTCGGACCATCGCGCCCTGTCGCTCATTTCCACCCCGTCCTCGTCCTCTTCTTGCTTGAGCGAGAAGTACATGTTATCCTCCTCGGGGCGGAACATGTATCCGGTGGCGACGTAGTACGCGAGCGTCGCCAACTCACTGAAGAAGGCAGCCGTCCACCTGAACTCGTACTCCACCGTCGATAACAACAAGTACACGATGATGCGGGTGAAATATATGTACGCCACGGTCATGACGTAGAAGTGTCGGAAGAGCAAGAGTTTTTCCAGATTTCTCGCCTTCTTCTCACTCGATTCGTTCGAATCGCGCAAGTGCTTTATGCTCCACACAATGGGCACGAGGATGGCGCAGCAGCACACGATGTCGATGACGACGAACATATTCTGCCACGCGAACCAGCCTTCGTCGGCGGGTCCCTCCTCACCGACGACGACGCTTGCTATGTTAGCCATCACTTGAAGCGGGATCACCGCCATGAGCAAGTTCTTCTCGCGCTGGTGCAAAAACGGCTTCAAGAAGCTCCAGCCCATGCCAACGAGCGCGATGACGCTAAAGAGCAACATCGAACGACACACGGTGAAGATGTAGTACGCCACAGTCCACCCCTTGGAAGACCCGGTCAATCTTGTAATGTGATATCGTCCCGCTTGCGCGAGCACAGAGAGCGTTTTGAAGCTAACGAGCGCGAGCATCAACCAGTGAATTTTACGCACGCCGCGCTTGTTCGCCGAGCGTCCGAGGACGTACGCCCACGCCACGCACGCGCCCGCATCTAGGAGAAAGAACAGGTAATACACGCTCGGCAGCGCCTTTTCGCCTCGACCCAGATAGTCGTTGTGCCCATTCGCGTCCTTATTTATAAACTTTGTCGTGACCTCAAAGCTCACCACTGTGTGCGGTTCACAGCTGGCGAAAAACAACATGTAATCCCCGGGCTTCGTGACCTCTCGTCTATGCTCGAACGCGTGAACGTGCTCCTCACCTGGTTTCTTCTGCGCCTCCATGTCCGAGAACGTGAACAAGACGTCGACGAAATCAACGTCCAAGACGCACGCGCCGTCGCCGAGCGCGGCGTCGAGCGCGCCCTCATCTTTTCCCTCTGTGACGAAAAATCCAAACTTTGTCTTATCCGCCGGTGGCGCGTTCTCCGGTAGGAAGAATCTTGGATCCTTCAGCTCGATCTCCATCACCCCCCCCTTGGCGAATCCGAAAGGTTCGCGCAGTAATATCAAACTCCTATCATCCTTGTCCACCACGTGGTGCGTGATCCGCGCGCTCGCTTTCGCGGCGAGGGCGATCACGAGAACTACGAATGCCCGCGCGATGGAGCTCGACCGCATCGTCGCGCGCATGTCGTCTCGATCGTATCTCTTGAGGGTCTACACGATCCTACGTCACGAACCACGTTCGTCGGAGAATCGAGTGATTCCGTCCGAGGTTCACGATGAGGCGAGATTCCGAGCTTCGAAGTGCTTGAACGACGTCCGCGAGTCTCTCGATCGACCGTTCGATGGAGTGTACGACAGAATTTACGTTCGAGACGACCGCGCCGCCGCGAGAGACGACGACGTGTGCGGGTTGAACGCTCGAGAGACTCGATTTCGTCGGACATGTCGAGCACACCCGAACTTTTCAATCACATCCCGTCCGTGAGGCCCCCAGTACGAGGTAGCTGGGGGGGTCTTGTACGATAAAAACTCATGCTTCGGACGCACGGATCGTATTCAAGAGACATTAAGAGTGTGTACAGAGAATACTCTCACGTGACATCGTTGGGTGCCGAACGACAACGGTGTCGCGCGCGAACGTGCGCCGCACGCCGCGCCGCCCCAGTCGTCGACGCTCGCGATCGCGGGATAGCGTACTCTCGCACTCGGTCTCGATCACCGATCGCGTCCACGCGTGTGCGCGTCATAAGTGGTTAAGAGAGGAAAGCGATGATGCGTCGAGTCGCGCAAACGCTCGCTCGGTCCCATCTGCACGCGTCCACGACGTCACAGACGACGACCGCGCGCGCGCTGTGGTCGTCAGGGATGACGCGAACGAATTTTAACTCCACGATCGCGACCACTCATCGCGATGAGGTCGCTATGGATGGATCGGCGAGACGAGCGCGCGCGCATTCGCGCGCGCCAGGGGCGCCACTCGCGAGCGCGAGAAGCTTCGCGTCTTCGGCGGAACAACCGGCGCCTAAGGAAGATGAAGCTACCGAGGTGGCGAACGTAAAACGTTTGGACGACCCTCCGCGCGGTGCGTCGCAAGGATCGTACATGCTCTTTCACCCGATGTACGACTTGAGACAAGTGGAGAATGTCAAGCCGGCGCATCGCAAGCCAAAGTGGGCGTCGGATTACCTCGCGTACGGGCTCGTGCAGATCACGCGATGGGGTTTCGATAAAGTCACGGGGTACTCGCCGAAGAAGGCGCTCTCTACGGACCAGTGGCTCGCGCGATTCATCTTTCTCGAAACTGTGGCGGGCGTGCCAGGAATGGTGGGCGCCATGTTGCGACACATGATGAGCCTGCGGACGCTGAAGCGGGACCACGGTTGGATTCACACCTTGCTCGAAGAAGCTGAAAACGAGCGCATGCACTTGCTCACGTTCCTCAAGCTTCGCGAGCCAGGATTGATGTTCCGTCTCGCGGTGCTCGCGGCGCAAGGTGTCTTCTTCAACGCCTTCTTCCTCTCCTACCTCATCTCCCCACGCGTGTGCCATCGATTCGTGGGGTATCTTGAAGAAGAAGCGGTGCGCACGTATACGCACGCGCTCCATGACATCGATGGCGACGGTCAAGCGAGTGAATGGGCGCGAAAGCCCGCTCCGATGCTTGCCATAAAGTACTGGCGCATGCCCGAGGACGCCACCGTGAGGGACCTTATCATCGCCGTGCGAGCCGACGAGGCCTCGCACTCGCACGTGAACCACACGCTGTCGTCCATGGGTATCAGGCAGGCGAATCCGTTCCACGTCGGACACACGGAGTTGCCGGAGAACTTTGTGGACCCGCCTCCTGGTTTCGTTCCGGAGCACTGCCGCTAGAGCTCGCGTCCACCGGATGAATCTCTTCGATTCGAAGAACAACGTCGCACATAATTTCGTCGACAAGCATTAATCCTCCCTTAGGCGCGTTTCTCGTTTATCGCTCGCGCTACTCGCTGTAATCATTATCTAATTGAGCGCTCACACACGGTCAACAGAACGCCCTCTTTTTATACGCTCGCTGAAGACGCCAAAAGCCTCACTTGTACGCGCGTCACGTCGGCCGTCGTCGTCGTCGTCCCGACCGTCTTCTCCACACGATAGAACGTCTCACGAACGACTTCTCGCGATGTCTCGAGGTCGTCAGGCCGCGTCGTCGTCCTCGGAAGGGGTGAAGATTGGAAAGGATTTGCTCTCCCAGGTTGTGAGCGCGATCGAATCTCGCGACATGAGCGCGGCGCTCGAACGTTTGGACGACTTTAAGGTGCACGCGGCGATGTACTTCAACGCCATCGATGTCTCTAGTGAATTCAGAGCCGATGAACTGCGACTGAGCCGTGAGGCGGCGGAGCGAGGGGTCATGATCAGCGCAGCGACGAAAGATGAGGCTTCGTTCGAAAGACACGCGGCGCAGGCCAAGGCGGCGTACGAGGCGTGCGAACGATTCCCCGATGGGATGATCGAGCGTTCAGCGAATGAACCGTTGATAATTGGTCTGAATCTGCTGCGTCTGCTGGTGCAGAATCGCATCGCGGAGTTCCACACCGAGCTGGAGATAACGAATGCTGAGACGCTCGCGGATGGGCGGGTGCAAGCCGTGCTCGAGCTCGAGCGCTTCTTGATGGAGGGCGCGTACAACAAGATCGCAGCGAATCGAGGAGCACTTCCGGATCCGAGCTACGAACACTTCATGTCCATGCTCATGGATACCGTGCGAGACGAAATTGCGAGTTGTGCGCAGAGCGCGTACGCGAGACTGTCGCGCGACGACGCAACGAGACTGTTGGGATTCTCCAGTGCCAGTGAATTCGAGGTTTACGCTAGATCTCGGGAATGGACGATCGACGGTAACGGAACGGTTATATTCAATGAGGAAATCGCCCCAGCGAGCGCGAAAGACATCCCGAGCGCTTCGTTGATTAGTCAGACTTTGCTGTACGCAAAGGAACTCGAACGTATTGTGTGAGTTGGAGTACGTTAGCATGCTGCTTGTAGTAGCGAGATGACCTTTGTACGCGAGACAGCTATCGAGCACTCTAGCTAGCGCTTTACGAACGTGGAGCGCTTTAACAGAAAAACTTCAAGCGTCTGGAACAAAGCCATCTCAGCGAGCAGGACGCACAGCGCCGTCCACGTCCTACCGTCGCTCGCGTCATATCCGTAAAACGACTGCACCTCCACGTTTGAGCCGTACACGCCGGTGACTATTTGTTCAATCGTCCATGCGAGCGGTGAGATGTACAGAGCCCACTTTATGAACACGGGTGCCGTGGCCCGACTCACAAAAAAATTATTGAAGAGGATAAAGAAGAGCAAACCCGGCATTGCAGCCTGCACGCTTTCGGACGGCGATGGCGCGACTGCGGCGATGACACGCAAGTAATTTGTCACCGTGAGAAAGTTCAGAAGCGCCCAGCCGTATACGGTAGAGAACTTTGACCAACTCACGCGTGAGAATGAGAACATGATGATCGAAGTGACGAAATTGCCTAGAATTGCGAGAACGTTGTTGACGCTACTCTGCACGATGATAGACGCGCCTGTGGAATACAAAGCATCCGCCTGCTCCAGCTTTAAGATTAATCTCGTCTGAATCAGTTCTGGCATTATAGCCATGTTTGCGATTGCCCCCATTTGGAGCATCATGAAGAAGAACGATAAACTTGAGATGGGTGGTTTTGAACCAATGTCGTAAAAGGCCAATCCGACTATCAATCCTTGCATCACGGACACACCAATTCGCAAACGGAGACCAGCCTTGTTACGTTTCGTTAGCGTGAGATTACGATTCAGTAGAACACGCAGCTGCGTGAGAAAAGTCGCGGCGATGGGCGATGGGTGAATGCTCGCGGGATCCAACCCGTTAATCTTTGCCGTCTCTCGTAACACGTCAATGGTGGCCCGTTTTGATCCAGCCAACGAGGCATCCACACGCCGTTCAACCTCTTTGCGCTGGACATCCTGGTACCAGGTCGCCAATGCATTCGATTTCTCACCTTTCGCTCCCGGCGTTATGACATCGAGGAAGAAGTCAGCCGGATTACCCTTCGACGGTACGGGCGCGCCCGCCGCGGCGAAATATGCCGCCGCTCCAGCGAACTTCCCGTTATAAATAGCTCGTCCGGGATTGGATGTGAGCAGAATAAGTGAGTCGAACATATCAACCACCTCCACGCGCGGTTGATGTATGACGGCCACGAATGTCACGCCCATCCGCCTCGAAGCAATTGCCATCGCGCGCGAGACGTTTTCCGCATCCGTGGACGATAAGCCCGTGGTCGGCTCGTCTGCGAAGACAATTTGCGACCCACCCGCCAAACCCCGGGCGAGCGTCACGCGTCGCTTCTGACCGCCGGAAATTCCACGAACTCGGGCGTCGCCGACGAGTTCGTCCCGCAACTCTGCAATGCCGAGCAACGATAGTACGTCATCCACCGCGGCGCGACGCTCCGACTGGTTCATCTTGGACTCAGATCGAAGCTCTTGAACGAAGGCCACCGCCTCGAACACGGTGACGTGCGCGGGAATAACATCTTCTTGCGGCACGTAACTCGTCACGCGTGAGAAGAGTTGGTCTCGCGGTAACCCGTTCAGGTACACGTCGCCCGTGTACGTTGCCGTCTTCTTGCCCGACAGCATGTCTAAGAGCGTCGTCTTCCCGCACCCGCTCGGTCCCATTATCGCCGCCATCTCTCCGCACTCAAACGTCCCCGACGTGGGCTCGAGTATCGTCCGCGTCGTCGATCCATCTCCCGATGAGGACCGAAGAGAAAACGCGAGGTTCCTGAATGCCAAGCGACTGCACCCGAACGCGCGAGGATCCCGCGGTGTTTCGCGCGCGTCGTCGCGCTCGAACGTCTCGACATCGTCCGTGTTCACGACCACCGATCGATTCGACATCGCTCGCGCGTCTGGGTGAGGTCTCGGCGACCGTCTCGAAGTAACGAACTCCACCGTGGAGACTCCACGTGGAGTTCGTTATTACGTCAGGCACCGGAGAATGGCTTCGCACCGCACTCGTCGCCGCGTCGCGATGGGTCGACGACGAAACGACTTCCCGATCGATGTCGTCATCGAGACACACCTCTACGATGATCCCGCGTTTCACGCCGCGGCACCGGTGCGGGGCGACGCATCGACGCGCGGACGACGACGCGCGCGTTCAACCTCCGGGATCGGGCGGGCGACTGACAAAGTCGAGCGACGTAGGACGCGTACCTGTGCCCGCTCACGCTCAAGGTGATGCGAAATCCCGTGGTGGTGACGAAGACCGGGCGAACGTACGAGAAGGCGGCGATCGAGGCTTGGATTACGCTGAACCACGCCGAGCCGTACGACAGAAACGTGGCGCTTGAAGACTTCACCGCCGAGTGTTCGAGCAACACCGCGATGTACGCGCTGATCGAACACTTCGTGCGCTCGGTGCGCACGATGCAACCGGGCGCGTTACTCGACGGCACAGTCGCGCAGCGAATGAAACGCGCGGCGGCGAAAACGACGGTCGTCATCGTCGAAAAAAACATTCACGTCTTCAAGAAGCAAGCGTCGCTTTCGGGAGGCGCCTCTTCAAACGCTCACGCTGCGCTGACGACTTTGGAGAAGGGTTTGATCCCGGACGTCCCGAAACCGAAAAAAGAGGAGGAAGTGGACGTCGTGGGCGAGCTCGTTTTCCCGGAGGAACTCCCAGAACGAGCGTACATTCACGTAAAGTCACTCGAGTTTCCGGACAAGTCGAAACCGACCGACGGTCGATTCTTCAGGTTCGACATGGACGAGCTCACTCGCGTGATCGGCCACAGCTGGGCGAACGAAGACGCAGAGGCGTACAAGACGGAAAATTTCAGCGTTAAAACTGGCAAAGGAGCGACGTTTTGCACGTATCGCGATGAGAAGCGCAGCGCCATCGTCGTCTTCGGCGGACCTGATGGCATGGGCGTCGGCTGCTATCACCCCGTGTCGAGTGCTCAGCCTGGAGATTGGGCGGTGGGTGAACCCATCGAGCTCACCGCATATCGTGGAATCCCGAAGGGCTTGCGCTTCATGAATCCCGATAAGATTTCTTCCGTAAAATTCAGATATTACATGGATGGCGATGAACGCGTACTTAACTCTGGTATGAACGGAGAGCGTCCCGAGCAAATCTTTCCCGGTCAGAGCGGTATTTATCCGTTAAACTGCAAGTACAAAGGCACGAGAATCTACAACTGGCTTCATATCGAGTTCAAGCTCAAGTACCCGACCGGAACGGATCCTGAGCTGATAAACGGACGTCCCATCACGCCCATAGGCGTTTTCGTGGATAATCGTCTTTTACTTCAGCGCGGTGGATGCGCACAAATTTACAACTGTCGTGATAACGAACTGCATCACTGTACTGCGAATGGCGACGGACCTAGTTTCCGGAGCGGAATGCAAACGGATAATGAGAATTTGCAGCACTTTGGCGCTATGATGTTGCATCGCGATCGAATGTATGAACCCATCACCGACTTTATGATGAACTTTCGCATGCCAGACAACGGGCCGATGGGCGTGCCGTGCTTCAGCGAAGAATGCGGCGGTGGCTTGCATTTCGGTTTCTTGGAGGGCGACCCCGCCTGGTGGAAGGTTGGGAAAAACGAATGGCCCACCTCCGAGGAAGGAAACGTCGGGGCTACGTGCGATGACGATGCTTCAAAATGGGGCGACAAGGCTCTCAAGGGTCCGAACGCGAAGGAAAGCGACGAATTCTTTGTCTACGATCCTCGGAAGAAGGCACCCAAACCGAAGCGGCGAACTTATAAGACGGCTTCCGGTGCTACCATGGTGACAAAGGTGAAATCTGATACATTTGTGTTTCCGAGACAGCGACGAAAACTTGTTGATCCACATCTCGAAGTTGTAAGCTTGGACTATCCCGGAGGCGTGATGCAGGGTAAGACGGATCCGGAACCCAAAGGTAAGTGGTTCCGCTTCAAAAGCGATCAACTTTCAGAGATTTGCGGCATCTCAGACTGGGGAAACGGATGTTACGATGGATGGAAGACGGGCATTATCAAGAGTGGCGACGGAGCCTCATTCAGTGTCGCCGATAGAGATCGAGGTATTATCGTTTTCCAGCACGAGAGTGGTTTGGGCGTCGGATGCTCCAATCCGTACGACTACGCGAGAGAGGGTGAATGGAGCGTGGGTGATCGTCTGCAGCTGTTGGCATACTCGCATGAAAATCAACCACCGCCGTACACGTTCGCGTTGTCCATCGACGAGTACATCTGTCAGACGGAGACTGGATGGAACCTTCCGGGACACTTGATCCGATTTGGTCAGTGTGGACTCGTCGGTGGATGGTGGAAGGAGATGGAGATTGAGTTCAAGATCGAAGAGGCTTCTGTGGGTACGAGAATTTATGGTGTGCACACTGACGCTTCGTTTGAGTCGCTACCGTTCACGGCAACGGCGCTGCGTTCAGACGGCAAGTGGCACGACATCAAACTCAGTGAGGACGACGTGCCGTGGGGGCGCGCGTTCGCGTCTGTTATGGACGACGTTTCCGCGGTTAGAGTGCGATGGGATTCGACGGATTTGCACAAGCTCGCAAACTCGACAGCTCGCTCGGGTGGTGGCATACACGCCAACCTTCTCGGAACTTCCACCGCGTTTAACGTTCTCGACGTTCGACATAGTGGGCACCCGGTCGATGGTTCCATATTCCGATTCGACAAGGACGCTATTCGCGCGGCGACGTGCGACGCTTCAAATTGGCAGGGTCGTTACGAAGTGCTTAACTTGCGGAGCGGGAAGAAGGGCGCTGTCATGCTGCTGGACAAGGCTGATCAGAAAGTTTTGGCTGCGTATTCGAAGGCGATGCAACAAAAAGCAGAGCCAATTGCCATACCGGCGTCCGCGACAGTCGCGCCGCCATCCGTCGTTGTCGTGGACACTCCTGGGGTGAAGTCAGCGCCTCTTCAGGCACGACATCCTCCGCCGAAAGGACCGACGGGCTTTCTCTCGTGTTGCTTCTCCGCACCGGCACCGGTGGCGAGCGCGCACGTCGACGAACCAGCGGCGACGACCATGGTGGTGTACAAAGACGTGTACATCGACGAAGCGTCGCCGGTGAAATCCGAGAAACTGGCTCCGACGCAAATGAGTGCAGCGGTCGACGTTCTCGGCTTTGGATATTGGCTCGATGCTGCGCAAACGCCCGCTCTCGCGCCAGGTGACTGGCAAATCGGTGATATTATAATGCTTGCGCGACGCGACCTCGACGTCGATGATTTTGCTCCTTCCGTCCTCGAAGATGGCGCCGCAGGCGTCGCCGCGTTGGAACGAGTAAAATCGATCGACGCCGCGGGCGCGTGGGCAAACATTCGGTTCATCTCGAGCGACGACGTCGCGCAAATAACGCTTCCCAGTATTTAGTTAAGATGTATCTATCGGCATGCTAACGTACTACCGGTATGTATCACGCAAAATGACTCACACCTGCTTAGCAAGACCCCTGAAGGCGAATGCGAACGCGTTAGAACACGACGGGAGCGCGCATGTGCCCGAAGCTGGCCGAAAAACGGGCGATCTGTGTGGATTGAGGTACGGCTCGATGAACTCGGGATCAGCGTGGCGTACGTCGGAGAGACGTCGATCGACGACGATCTGCAGCATTTCAAACGCACATCTCGTTGCTTCGGCGTTAACGTCACTCACCCAAAGTCCCGGTGGATGCGTACGCCGACCGACTCTTGCGCACTTCCCCTCGAGATGATAACCTACGATCGCTTCGATGGCGTCGCTCCAATCAAAACCGACAGGAAGCCCAGCGTTAAACGCGACAAATAAATCGCTGTCGTGAAAATCATCGTTATCCTTTGGAAACGTCCCTCTTCGCGTGCGCACACTAAGTCTTGCGCCAACTGCACCACTCACGGAATTGTTTGTGAACGGAATGTCGCAGGAAAACGTCTCACCGTCGCTCGTCAACGCCGGACCGACGAGAACGATTTCGATCGCACGACTGAGAAAACAACCGAGAACTCCGAATGTTCTCCAACGTGCGTACTCGTGCGCGTCGGTCGCTCCCAAAACGATGATTTTAAATGCCCCGTCGCTCGTGGTTAATTCCTCGCTGGGATATAACCGACGCAACGCGTGCGTGAGCGAAAGCGCCGAGCCGAACGTTGCGTGAAAATATCGATCCATAAACGCGGCGTCCCGCTCGAACCCATCGACGCCTTCGACGCGCACGTAGTCAGCAAAAAGCCCTAATCGGTTCATCTGCGAAGCGTCACCGAGACGCTCGGCAGAGAAGGCATCGATTGTGTCGTCGTCGCCGTCGTCGCCATCGCCATCGTCGCAAGAATCATCATGCGCCCAAGCCGGCCTCGAGCACCGCCTCCGAACAGACGGCGCGTCTCTAACGTACCGCGCATACATGTCGCACTCGTGCGTGCGCTCGATCCCTCCTCGAGCGCGACAACGCGCACAGAACGACACCGCTCCGCAACGGCACGGGGAAATTCCATGTGCGCCTCCGTCACAACCGTAACACGCGCTCGGTGGTTCGAACATCGTCATCGGCGCGTCCATCTGATGTCGACGTCGTCGCGCGCGATCGGTCGACGCGCGCGCGCGCGATGATCGGCCTCGGCGTCGACGGTCGCGCGAACATCCAAGTCGTGAAGTGAGCGTTGCGCAAAACGCCTGTACTTTTTTCGTGACCAACGACCTAAACCCTAATCGCCAGTGTCCGCATCGATTAGTAAATGAGTAGAAAACGAGCATCGCGAGTGGGAGCTCGCATATTTTTGGGTTTAGGTTTAGGGTTTAGGTTTAGGTTTAGGGTTTAGGGTTTAGGGTTTAGGGTTTAGGGTTTAGGGTTTAGGGTTTAGGGTTTAGGGTTTAGGGTTTAGGGTTTAGGGTTTAGGGTTTAGGGTTTAGGGTTTAGGGTTTAGGGTTTAGGGTTTAGGGTTTAGGGTTTAGGTTTAGG